GTTTTCCATCTATTATTAAGAAATGACGATACACATAAAATGATTGGATTTGATAAAATGATGTAATGTGTGTTTTAAAAGAATTTTCTATCTTAAGAAACCAAATTATAATAATGCTAATTTATTAAAAATACAATAACCTCACAATTTAATATCGCCTTCACTTAATAATAAACTGACAAGACACGTCAAAGTTAACTGTAAGGTAACACCTAATTACATCAAATAAAAAGAACAATTTTGTGACCCATTTTCAAATTCAGACCGCAAGAACTTGATTTATCAATTAAAATTTAAAAATTGCAGTCTCATATATAGTCCAAACAAAAAGGAAGTTACAAGATCGAATTAATGAATAGAAAAGAAACAACAAAGATATAGAAAAATAGGCAAAACTCTCTCAAAACATAGCCGAAATCATGAAATAGATTTTAATAATCCTCATACTGAAATATGAAAATAAATTTTGAGAAATAATTATAATGGAAACTCTGAAGATGAAAATATATAAAGTAACGAACACTGAAATAGAATCTAACCGGTTTACAAATCTATATGACAGTATTTTGTCTAAAATTAAAGAATAAGATCATCTTGAACAAACATAATTTCTATAATACGTTAACTATCTAACCCCCTACTACCTAACCTATTCCCCTCCTTCCCTACTATGGTTTCCTTCCTTCCCCTCTCCACTCACATTTTCCGTTAAACAAACTTCTTTCCCTCACTCTTCTTAAAACCTCGAAAATGACATTATGTATTTGGGTCAATGTAACTCTACCTAGTATTATAAGAATTATGAAATCTCTTCAAAAATGTAAGCCTCTACTGTCTCATTCTAATTGTTGAACTGAAAAAATATTTATTTTCGAAATGTTAAAGAATTTAATGTAATTTTAAATGTTAATTTTAATTGAAATGGATTATATGATTGAATTTCTATGTTGATTCCACTAAACAAATCTAAAGCAATAATAGTCGTAATGTTATTATGAAATTGATGTACTAACATGGAGATCAGAATCTCTGAAACATCGTATTGACTTTATGTGTGTAATGAAAGACATCAACGACAACAAATGTATCAAATGTGTGTTTTGAAATGACCTGCATGTTTTGACTGTCTATAAAAATACAGAACAGAAAATGTCAAAGAGAATTCTAATGACAGTCGAAAAAACTCAAATCTTAAACATATTTCCAAACATAGCCTAACAAGCCAATTATGTTTGTTTCACCATCTCATTTTTTGGACTAAGTTCAAATGTTTATATTTTACTACACAACTTCACTAAATCTTTTGTAATCTATATTTTACAAATTTAATTTTTAGTGTCTCTTGCAGCTCAATGTAGGTTTAGTTTGATTGCAACATTGTTTGATAATTAGTAAAAATTATCTAGAAATGCTGTTCCTGATATTATCTATTAATTACAACTGCAGTCACATGTATGATGACATCGTTTGAATCCTATTTGTGAAGATTGTAATGTTTTCATCTCTCTTAATGATTTTTATTAGTAACAGCAGAATTGACCTTACAATTATTGACTTGAGAATTATAATTACTAGTTGTAAGGAGTCTCTTTCATTAGAATTTTAACATCATAGTCGCTTAACCCTTCAATGCCTTTTCAAGATGACACGTTCCTTGCATTACTGGTCTCCATACCTAGACATCATGAAATTTTACGTTCTGCGACTGGGTGCCATGTGGAGACATAGGAGGCTACAGAGGTGCACAGTACTACCAATCTACTTCTAAAGTGACACTTCCCACTTTTCCTTCTCCCACATTGGAATATTACCACAACCAAATCAGATTTTGCGTTGAAGGGTTAGATCAATATTAGTCACATATGAAAAATTGGGTACCCAAACTAATGATGACACCAAAAAAAATAAGTGCAATAATGTTTATGAAGTTGTGTTTGTGGAAAGTCTTACCCTGGGACTAAAAGCAACACCTCTCACACAGCCCTGATGGAACTTTAAGAACCGAGGTTTTCCTTCCTGTTGCATGATTGTGGCCACGGGATATTGCAGCCGCGATCACAGCTAGAGGTGTGCAACCAACAAGTTGCCTCAATGTCTTTCAGCACCGTGATTGAAGTGCCTTCACTGTTGATTTCATAAAATCCCTTAAAAATTTGCACTACTTCACAAACATTACTGATATTCACTTATTGCGTGGAGAAATCTGAAAAAATCAAAAGAAACATATTGTTTGAATCTATATATTACACCTGCAAGAATTGCCTCTACATGTATTTGTTACAAAGACGACAATGAAATTTGATGCGATTAAATCTTTATTGTTATATAAATGTATGCAACCCTAATATATTAATATTTATATTACAAATTAACAAATCAACTACTACTACAATAATTATTATTGTTAATTTCTCTGTCTTCAACTCTGCAACAAACTAAATCTAATGTTTCGTACAGAATCGTAATTTCATACAGGCATTTGAATATTTTTTTTCAACATATTAAATACAATTTTTAACTATTTGACATAAATAAATAATTCATGCAAATTTTAAATTAACTACCCAACCCAACTTATCTGAACTTTAAATTTTCATATTTTGTTAGTAGCGCCTTACTCAGAAACAATCGAAACTATAGTGAGTAATATAAATTGAAGTATTCCAAGGTGATAAAAGTCCACCTGTGCATTTAAAACTGAATTTTTAATAAAGCCTGAATATTACTTCATTCATTAAAATGCACAAGAAATCAAACTTCAATATCTAAACAAACAATCTATCTCCCCAATGTTGATATTTTCTTGGTTATTTGGTTCAATATTTTATGGTTTGAAATAACTATGCCATTGACACATCTTCCAGAAAAAAGGAAAAATATGGCATGGATCACAACAGCACTTGGTTGTTCTTTCAACTCATTAACAGTAAATAAACTGCCAGACACTAAACTAGATTTTAATTCCTCTGAAAGTTATTTCTTTTCTTAATAGTTTCTAAATTGTAATCCTTCGTCCCTTCACAAAGCGGAAATACTGTCATGCAATGCCACAGTAACAAAATTAAAAATTAATTAATTTGTAGAATCAGTTAATAATTTTAATTTAGAAAATAATATTTCTTAAACTCGTTATTCGTTTTTATCCATATTCAAACATCTACACATGAATTAGCAGTATACAATTTAATCAAAATAACAGACTTAGATTAGATACTGCACATTAAAAGCAATGCCTCCTGAAAACTTTGATTGAAAACATGAAAAATAATGTTTACTTATTAGAATATTACCCGTATTTATAATTACACGGTAGTTGTTATTAAAAATAAACTTTTCTCAATACTTAGAGACATCTCTTAAGCTGGAAGTAGCAGGGTCACTACATCAAAGAAAAATGTTACAAGCATCGGTTCCCCTTATACATGCTCACACAAAAGTAAATGCCCAAAAATGTAGATAAAGTTCTTTAAAACAACTGACGGCATTCAACAAATAAACTTTCATTACATAATATACATATTGCTCACAAATCTAACCTGTACCATGCACATAGTACATACTGGCATAAATTTAATGTCATGCAATCAAATGACCAGTATAAAATAAGTTCAAGTGAAATGCAGTAATGGTGGTAATTTGATAACAGCCCATGCACATTATTTGGCATTTCTTAATTGCAGTCTTTAGTCCTACATTAAACCGACAACTGTTCACTTTTACTGTAGCATTGCCTTCTGTATGTGAGTATGCACACATCGCATCACTAAACCAAAACAAAATACAGTATAACAGTAATAGCCGCATAGGTGCAAGTGATAAAATTATCAATTTAGAGAAAAATTTTCAATTGACCCAATTACAAAACTGAGAAAAAGTGCATCCTCCTGGTTGTAGGATCCGACAAAGACCTTCACCTTCACCATGTTTGTAATTGACACCACCATGGTATATCTGGTACTTGACAGGGCTGGCTCTACTCCCATAACAGGATACATATTGCCGCAACTGAAAAATAAGTGGCACCTACAACAAGAAACCGACATTTCTTCATTTCAAATTTCATATTTTGATTCAGATAATTTTATTTTAAATTCTGAAAAATTCGAATAATTCTTCACATATATTTCAATGTAGTTTTCTCGCCCCTATTACAATTTATTATCTTAAACACCACACCAAGTGCAATTTCAACCTAATACAAAGCGCTACATCACCCCTCGTGCACGCATGTTCGTGCCAAAACAGGGTAATATGACACTGTCATAAGAACAGTTAGTAGATAATCATTAACGTGACTTACTTAATTCCACCTTGAACTTCCCAGCAGGTCTAATGCTTGTGCGCAAATCGTTAATAATTCATTAAGTCTAAGAAGGCCATAGCATCATCAAGAACAAGTAAATATACGACTGCCATCATTCGTATTCCTCATTTGGCAACTGCTCGAGTCCATTTAATTCACAGCTGATTGCATAAACAAAAAAGACAAAACACCTATAGGCAGCAGTGCTTTAAAACATTCCCACAAATGAAAAATGATCTTTTCAACAAATCGCATTAATACAACCACGCACAGCATAGTTGTACATTTATATTTCGTAAAGTGAACAGTCTACCTTTGTTGATAAACACGGCCACCATTACTTACATAAACGATTGCATTATTATAATAAAAGTTCCGTAGACAGCTTTACGCCTTTTTTCATGTATTTGATTTAACTAGAATAAAAATAACGGCCACAATATTTACCACAGTGGCTTCGTTAGGAAATAAAATATTCATGCCAGAATTCCACACCACTTCTTATTTCACAAACGAGCTCACGCAAACTTCCCAATACCCACACTTCACCTACACTCTCGCTGCACACAAACACACACACATACTATCACATCGCATTTGACAACACACCATGGATATACGACAGAGCTTCGAGTTCGTTTCTCTGCTGGTAGGTGTCACTAGTAGCAAATAATTGGCCTGCTATTGTTGCCATATCAACGAGACACGAATTCGAAGTTCATTATTTACTATCTAGATTTTATCCTCGACAAATTTGCCGAAAATGGTCATAGTGCTGTAAATTTGAATACTTTAAACTTGCTTAAAGGTAATTATTTCCTTTACTTTTGAGTATCATTTAATTCTGAGTTATAATAACATGGGAAAAACACCATTTGAGGCATTTATCATAATTGCCTTATTCGTTATAGAGGATAAAGGAACGAGAAATGAATGCATGTCGACAAAATCCACCACCTGCAGGTGGAGAAAAAACTTCAGATTACTATACCACCATAAAATTACCAGCACGCTTTGAAAATCCTAGTAAGGACATCTTTACCTTCATCTTGTTTCTAAAGCAACTTGAAAACTTGACTAATTCTCACATTATTTTTTTCACAGGTTGGTTTTGTTGTTACGGTAGTCAGAAGGAACCACCTACCCATCCTTTCTATAATACTTCTAATGGTAATTATGGATGGTTTGCACCAAACATCCATACTGTACCCCATGCATTTTTCCCAAAGACATCAACATTTTCACGGCAACAGGGTGTGGGTGGAATGTACAAAAATTTTTCACTAAACACTGCCCTAGACACATCAATCCTTTAAATATTTGTATTCTTCAACTTACAAGTTTTTGTAAATTCATTTATATTGCTTCAGTGACATAAAGTTGTGCAAACTTGTTATTCTTCTATAATGTAAAACCTTTTGTTATGCTCTTCTTTTATTTAGACTCACATCTTAATTTGATACTACATATAACATTGAATAAAAATGTTTCACATAAAAGCTATTTAGAAGAGCTTCATTGTAATACTAAAAACTAGGAATACATACACTTAAACTTCTTTAGCCTGATAAATCACTAAACCAGCTTTTTGTGTCTTCATGATATGAAAGTAATATTGAAATATAATTAAAAGGAAAAAAATTAGGAGGAATATAATAAATTCCCCATTATAAAAGTTAAGATTAGCAATTTATTTAGGAACTGAAGTATAGTTAACCCTTAGCACATAATCACTGCATACAAATTTCACCAAAACACAAACAAAACTTGGGGTCCCAGTTAGGACATGGTATACAGATACATATAATAATCAAATAGGCAAAAATTCAGTCCCTTAGAATTTGTGTAAACAACTCAATTGATATGAAATTGGGATAATTCACAAATTTTTAATAATTGCATTTATAAAGCACATTAAATCCACTAATTTATACAGAACATAATTGTTCAAAAATTAAAGAACACTTAGCAGAAACTGAAATTGTTACACACAAAGTTGATAAAAAAATTTAAGATATTCATGATTAAAGAAATACAAAATTGTAGGATCAAAAAGAGTATGAATTGTTCTTCACATATATTTCCTATAAATTAAATTCTTGAGTAGGTATGGATTAATACTTTAATTTTATCTTCATGTAGAGCAGCAATGAAAAAACAATTTTTTCAAATACATTTATTTTTGGATGGTAATATGGTTATCCAACAAAATGGTTAACCTTTACTTTTAGTTCGTACAAACCATTAAACTAGTTAAGGAAATAATTTTTTGCAAAAGTGCTCAGGGGCTCCTAAAGATGTTTTTAGTCTGCTTACATATTAACCCATACCTGCTGCTGCAAAATAAAATGTAGAAACCAAATATTCAATAACACTAGTTAGAATGGATTTGGCCTAGTTGTCTTACGTAATACATATTTTAAAGGTCGGCAAACAAAACTACAACCAAGAGACATCCCTACATAATCAAGCAATAAATTGTGCAGAGGTACATTCAATTTTTTTCTTCTGAATTATTATACTTTGGCCTTTCATGTTTTAATAATTTTGAAGAACTACTGACATATTCAAAATATTAGTCTGCATTATCTCCAAGATCATTTTCATTAATTAGATAATCAATTTTAACATGGAAGTGGTAGCACCACAATTGTGTATTATATCATTTCAAGTATTTCCTGAATTTTTCATCAGAATAATTTTGTAATTGTACTTGTATTAAAATTAGTACTCTCTCAATATAAATACATTTTATATGGATTGAATCACAGCTGTAATAAACTGTAAAATCAACAGCCAACCCAACTTCATTAATGTCGTATTTTACATCAACACAAAAATTCTAAGTTTGTTGCTCAAGATAACAACAGAATATTCTAAATAAATGAAATCAAAAGTAAAACTTGTTTCCTCAATGTGAATTCATATTCTGTACTGGCTTATTTAAACGTCAGCAAACAAAACTACAACCAAGAGACATCCCTACATAATCAAGCAATAAATTGTGCTGAGGTTCATTCAATTTCTTTCGCATATTTACATACTCAATTAGCATTCAGGGTTGGTCAGCATTTAAATTCTAGTATTTGAAATGCATATTTTAAATACATTTTTTATTCGAAACACTGTATTTTTGAGATTTTTTTAGGCATATATTTTATAGATGTATTAAAGAAAACAAAATACAGACGAAAAAGATACTTTACAACAAGGATAGTTTCTTTGTATTCGATTCTGCTAGTGAATGCACCTCATTAGAACAAAAATAAAAAGCTCCGTTCAGCAGTTGAATTTGGATTCTATTGATTTTTAAATGAAAAATCTAAATCATTAAAAATTCTGGACAATTATCCAGCAATAAGAAAGCATTATAACACTAAGTTCATGTTCATCTATGAAAACTGAATGAGTTTTCCTTTGCAGGTTTCATACATTTACCAACCAGGGGTTTATTGTCCGATGATTTGTTTAAAAAATTAGTCTTTTTAAAAAGAAATTCCATTTCTTTGGGTTAGACATTTTTGAGATCATTTTATATCAGAAAATGTTTATACAATTAGTTTCAATACAACACGATAGTTATTGCTCAGAAATTTGTATGATGGTCAATTACTAATTAACTGTAATTGACAATTACAATATATTGCAAAAAAAATAATTATATATTAACAGTATTTAAGTTCATATGTATTAGCACACCAAGTCCTAATGTATTTTGTGTATGTATTTAAATGTATTTAAATACTTATTTATAAAGCGTTTCCTATCCTCATCCCCTTAAAAGTAAATACTGATAATACAGCAAGGTCATCACAGTACTTAAAACTCATATCAAAGAATGTTAAAGACTAATTAGTTACATTTCTAAAAATAAAAATGTTATTAAAATTAAAAGAAAATATAATTACTGCAGTTAATACATAAAAGTTACTAGGAGGAAAGAAAAAGCACAAATATTTTAGGTAATACATGTTTTTTACTGGGTCATTATATTTAGACATCTCACAAGTTTTGGATCTCTTAAGATACTGACATTACATAATTTTTGAACCTCGTATACAAAATTTGTCATTCTTAGTCATAAAAAGATGCATCTTGCCATTCATTTGGTATTCCAACAAGCAAATTGTTTTTAGGTGTACATGATTCAGGAATCAATTTTGCAAGAGATACAAAATAACCAGCTTCACTGGCATGAAGACATCGGTCCTTGTCTATAATACCCATACACTTCTTGCCCTGGTCTGTCTTTACGTTATTCTCATCATGAGTCTGATCAGCTGAATGTCCTAACACAAGATATTCTCGTAAAGTCATTGGAGAATCTCGAAAAAATTTACTGCGAGGATATGTAATAATGTGATTGTTCTGTACAGAGCCGTAACAACATGGGCAACAAACAAATACAGCCCTCTCTTTAATACAACACTGAATAACCAAGTCTGTTGCAACACCGCATGCATGAAGGGAAGTTCCAATATCAAAATGTCCCACAAAATAGTCCAAGTTGCATTGACAAAAAGAAACATTTGAGAGACCAAGTTTCTTGACTCGCTCTCTAGCTCGGGTTAAGGATTCTTCTTTATTTTCTAGAAAAACAACATGGCATCTTGGTAACAAATGAGCTAAGACAATACCTAAATGTCCACTACCAGAACAAAAATCAACAATAGTGTGACCTGGTTGGGCTACTTTCAAAACAGCTTTAGTCAGATTTTCTAACTGTTGGCTCTTACGTTCACGGCGAGATGCAGGCAGGTGACCACCCTCCGGCTGTGCATCATACGGCAAAGACCTCCAGTCAAATTCTACTTCATTACCAAAAGGTGGTTCTAAAACATCCACACTCAAACCTAGCATATCTACCACAAGAAGAGAAGCATCAACATCTTCTTGTCTGGTAAATATTCTGTTCCTAGGTTTATATCTCCGAGGGTCACTCTTGTATATGCTCTGCTTTGGTACATCAGGTACGTTATATATGACATACATATCATCTACAAGTTTGCTAGGAATGGTGTTGAAAATTGAAAGAGATTCTTCTATTCCATCTTGTTCACACATATTATGGTACCATTTCATTATAAGAGGTACATTTTGTTGCAAATATACACTTCGAATACTCTCTATTACTATATGCAAACAAGGGAACAAAATCACATCTGCTAATGTCATTGTAGGTCCTTCAGCAAAGCAATGTTCCACAATACCTATGTCACCAACATCATAGGTTTTCCCACATTTTTTCATCAATTCTTGTGCTTTCTTCTGTACATTGTGCATGCGAATAGGTTGTGCCATGTGCACTTCAAACCTAGCAATATCTTCAGGAATTATCACTTCAGTTTTTGACATACTTCCAACAATTAAATGCTTGGTAGTGGCGATCATATCCACTTCACAGAAGCGTGTCCATACAGATGACTCGGCACATGCCACAAGACACCCTTCTCTGAAACCGAGAAGTGTGCGACTCCAATGGCTAGGTTCTTCTGCCACAATAGTCTTGATCAATTGTCGAAGAACTGCACAAAGACCAGCAACACAAGTACTCCTCTCGACTAATATAACAGGCAGAACACACAACTTTGCTGTATGAGGCAAGGACTCTTTCTGTAACACTTCATAATTCATTCCTAATACTTTTATTTGAAACACTGGTGTAGAATCTTGTTTCACCACCATTATCATTTTGATCTTAGTACCAAAGCAGTATTTGACCATAAACACAGTGATTAATGTTTCCAATGGCACAAGAACCCACCCATTTTCAGGTTCTGAAAAAACTTGAAGGTAGAGCATATCCATGTTGATTTTGGTTTCTTTATTTTTTAAGGGCAAAATTACAATAAAATAAATAAAAATTACAGAGTTCTTCCAGTCGAATTAATCACACACCACTTGCCAGCTGCCTCTGAATTCTACGTAACATTCGATGATCAAGAATCTTTTGTCTTGCATACACAACCGTTGAAGAGACCAAACCAAGTGCAAACATTAACCCTTCAAATAACCAGAAGTTGCGTTCTTCTAACCATGTGACCTTGTCGCAACTGAAAATAAAACAAGTTAAGAAAGTAATTAAATATTCATCATACATTAATTCCAGAACACTAAATTAACTTCTTTGAAACATCTGCTACATCATTTTGAACAGAATAATGGCTGAGAAAAAGTCTACAAACCTTCTCACCACAGTTGTTCCAGTTTTACTACATTTAAGAACTTCCTTGAAATGAGAAGGAAGACACGCGCCAATACTTCGACTTGTTATCTCAAAATCTTAAAACAAAACATTTATCAAGAAAGATATAAAAAAGGTTAATAAATATTAAAGCAAGGTGAAAATATGTGAGCAGACAAACCAGTGCATGGATGGCAGGGTTCAACAACTAAAAACTCTTCTCGCAATATACAGTCGCTGGTTACATTTTTCACTGCTGTGGCGTGATTCCTGCTATTTCCTGCAGTTAGATGACTTTCCAGAACTAGCACCAGCAATGTCAATCTACAATTACCAAAATAAATAAGGTAACACGGTCCAAACATTTCGGAACAAACACTTCATTTTTAATTTCAGTTGTCCTTAACGTTTTACACGTCATTGTCACCTATCATGACATATAAATCACTTAAAAATAATACACTTAACTTACCCTCCCAAAATTGTAATAGCTAAAAGCATTCGCTTCTGAGTGCAAGACTCGATCATTTTCTTACACCAAGCGTAAGCAAATCTAAGAAATACAAGTCATGTAATCTCTTTAATTACATTTTACGACAAAGTGTATTGTCCCTTATCCTAAATACAGCACAAAAGAAGCCACGATTTCTCATTCCATTCTAACAATAATAATCACATTGTCATTCGTTCGCACCCGCAGCATGTTTTCTCAGATCTTTTCTCCATGATACACCACGACGTGTATATAAACTCTGTGATATACAACCTTTTCACCACGAAGTCTGTAAAGAAATAAAACTCATCTAAAATGTTGGAGGCATGTTGGGAAACGTATGAAACCTCGGCAGCAAATCGGACACACTTAGCTTCAGCGACATCACGCGGTGAATGAAGGAACTTATAAATAATAATAATAATAATAATAATAATAATAATAATAATAATAATAATAATAATAATAATAGTTTTCGCACAATGTACCGAGTTACCTTTCACAAACTTTTGTTAGTGATTATATCCGAACTTCACATATTTTTACATGCTATTGTGACATACCAGATATCCCCTGAAGGCATTTAATAAAGGAAAATTGCATCGAACGTATGTTTCCTTTTGAATTGGATGCATATTACCAATATTGTAGACCAATATACGTCATGAGGATGTCAACAAACTAGCGTTCTTTACTTAATGTCCTGATGATTCTTTTGCGAAGCATGGTCCCGGGACATAATCATGAATTCATTACGAAACGGCGTTGAAAACCGAGGTTCCGATTTTATTTAGAATGGGGCAGTTACTCTCCTGGCAGCAATGAAGTGGATGGTAAGAATTATGCAGACTGGGTAATATTTTGATGCTAGGAAACGGAAACGTTATGTTAATTGTGTGATTTGTTTATATGTTGTTAATAATTTGTAATTTGAGGGTAGCATTCTCAGTTTGTGTTGTAATTTGTGATTTAGGGGATTCCTGTAAACTAGACTTTGTGCGTGTGGAAATTAATGTAGAATAGATTTGTTACTAGGCATACATATTGTTTTAAGTGAAGTAAAATGTCAAGACAGTCGCAAGTAGGCGCTTCCTCCGTGACGCAAGAAGGAAAAGTCGCGTTCGCAGACTGCATTAATTTAATAGGCCGTATTATAGAATATTATTATCAAACACTTAGGATTTTCAGGGAACATAACAAAAATTCTCGCACAGCCAGAATTTACGATAGCAGGAGCATCGCGAGGGCATCCCTGTTGTAGTATAATAAATCATGTATGTATCATTGTTTAGGTTTCCACACGGTTGAGCACATGTTGCCATCAATGTTTTTAATAGCAGGATAATACAGAACTTCCAGAGCTCGCAGCTCTGTGCAGAGTCGCACGTCCACATATAATAACAAAATAATAAAAAGTGTTTGTCCCAGGTTTGTAAAATCAATGTAATGTTTGAAATAGCAATAGTAATCAATATTTTAATGAAAGTAATATTAATCGGACAATATAATTAGTTAGTTAATAAATAAAATTATCCCAAAACTTTCACATAGTTTACACACATATGTTTCTTCTGGTTGGTGGTACGAGGTTTCCTTTTTGCAGATTCGGAGGTGGAAGCCTTGTGCAGCGAAACGAGTCATTGGCTAATTACGTAAATTACCTGAATTAGTATGTCTTAAGTCGTATAGGGCTTTCATCCATTCTGTGTTTATCATAGCGTCTGTGCTGTAAAAATTTGCAAACATATCTCGTCCTGTTTCTTTTGTAATTCCTCTAGTAGATTCTTATATTCCTCTGTAAAGGACAATTGCAGTTGATAACGTATCACAGTATGACAGTGATCTTATATTTCTATGTAAAATTGCTCCCTGGAGAGTTGATATTATACATTGATACATGACATATACATATATTATACATTGATATTATACATATACATTGATATTATTACAAAAAAGATTTTCTCAAAAACTGCTCCAATTTTTTTATTTAAACTTTTGGTAGGGATTGTCCTAAAAAGATTTAATAAACACCATTTTGCTCTATTCTTTTATTTTCACAAAAATTACAATTTTTTTACTTGTTAATATTTACATTAGCGGTAATTTGTTCACATATATGTATGAGTCGATGTGCTTTAAATATTGCATATAAAGTTTCTCGAAAAATTATACAAATGTAACTTTTTGAGATCTCTCACGTCGTTAATTGCACATTTCCAGTAATTTGTAAACATTACTGTGAGTTTTTGTACGTTAAATGACTTCTAATAAAGTTAATCATGAACTCAAGCATTTTCTGTGAAAGAGCTTCAAATTTCGAATTTACAGTAGCGCTTAAAGGCCATGTTCATAAAAAGTACTCCAAATTTTTCAAGTGCCTACAGCTCCATCCACAAAGAAAGAAATACCCGAGTATGACTATATATGCTTATATATGTCGACAAACTCTGAAGGTACATGTGGCATCCGCGCGAGTGGTACCACAACACGCCACTACGTGCGCTGCCGTCCTTAGAAGCAGCGCGGAATGGTCCAGAAGAGCTGCGGCGTCGCCCATCACCCCGCAGGGCTAATCAGGGAGCCTCTTCGCTGCGGTCATCTGAGCACATCCTACCACCCAGCTATCGCCCACCCCCCCGTCCCAGAGGGGGGACAAGCTGCGTACACCATTCGCCGCGGTGCTTCATAAGCCGAACGCCGCACCACATGAGGCAGTCAGATTCGGGATTCGATTCGTTTGCATGACTATCGAGGAGGACGGAATCACCAGAGAAGAGCTCCGGCCACCGTTGGACTAAGTCCTTTTGAGGACTAGAGCAAAGTTGTCTAGCCTTGCCTTTCTAGAAAAAAGCCCTTTTATAAGGGCTAGCAATTCATAGCCCCTTAGTAGGGGAAGTCGCGAAGCCCCGCTGCCCTTCTTCCTCCTGGAAGCAGAGGACGATTTTGAGCATACAAGCTCTTTTGAAGGGGAACCTAAGCGACGCTTCAAGGTTCCCCTGGACGCCGTTCGTGCTGCGGTTCTACCGCGCTCGCCACTCTCATCCCCGTGAGGGGACCATCTCTAGTGTAGACGTGTCAATTTTAATGAAAACACTGAACATCATGACGAGGAGTGGCGCTTGTTTATCGATGTCTTAAAGATGTGCTGCAACATAACGGTAACAAATTGCCGTCTGTACCTGTAGGTCATTCAGTGACTATAAAATAATCTTATGGAAATTTGACAGAGGTACTGCAAGTAATTAGCAACTGGAAAATATGTGGCAACTTGAAAGTCGTTGGTTTATTGCTTGGTCTTCAGATTGTATTCGTAAAATATTATTGTTTCTTTTGCCTTTGCGACAGTCGAGCAATATACAGGCATCATATTTCAACAAAGTGGTGTAACGTTCGGGCCCAGAGGACCTATTTTAAGGCTGAAGGTTTTGCGAATGTAAGAAATTATAATTACTTGGTACTTTCATAATTTGCAATAGTTGATAGGTCGCAATAAAATATTTAAAAAAACATCTTCCAGAACGAGTTTTTCGCTTCGGAACCTTATGTAACCCTGTTTCTAAATCAATTAAGCAATTCATTTAGGTTTTATTAGTCTTAATTTCATAAAATTAAATAATAAAGCAAATTTTCCACTATTGGTTATTAATCATCGATTGATGAATACTTTTATGAATAATTGTTAACGGATTTTTTTTTATTATTTAAGGCTATAACACTACATGTGTTTGCTTTACACTAATATAAAGGGAGCCCGGATAAAAGTTTTCCCGCGGGCCCGCACTCATTTCGTTACGCCACTGTGCTAGACAGTAAAACACGGCGCTTCATTTATTTCTTCTGTGATTTTATCAGACAGTGTTAGATAAAAGCCTTGAATTTGGGAACTAACATGGGCCTTGCGTACATGGTCCTGTCAGTCCCTGTGGAACATACGCCGCTGCAATGGAGAAACAAAATGTAAATTCGCAATTGATTAGAGCCGTTAAAGAATTGAACAATACGAGCCAAATACAAGTGACAATACGAGCCAAATAAAAGTAGGTTGAAACGTTTCAGCACCATTTCCAATAAATAAAGGTTTATGACAGGAGTGCAGGGTAGCCCAGACTTTGTTTAAAATATATTTGAATGAAGTCCTGAGAAGATGAAGAAATGTAGTAATATGGGTATTAAAATTGGTGACTCTAAGTTATTCTCTGTACACTTTGCAGATGATCAAGTGGTCTTCGCTGAAGATGGAGATGATGCTCTATATATGCTGCGAAATTATATGAAGAGTATTCGGAATGGGGTTTAGAAATAAACATGAAGAAGACTGAGGATATGGTTGCAGGACGTAGAAGGAGGAGGTTGTAGGGTTGTTTGGAAGTAAAACCCTATCAAAAATTAACATACCTGTGTACAGAAATAAACGCAAATGGAGGCAGTATGCTAGATATTAGAAACAATTGCAAAAGGCAGAGTGGATATAAGATATTTACATTCGCTGATATTGAAAGATAAATTAAGTAAGAGTGTAAAGAGAAAATTGTATAAGACTGTTGTAGAGAATATTGCCCTTTTTGGATCTGAGGTATGTGAAGTAACAAGAAAGAACGAAAAAAATTGACAGCAATGGAAATGGGCTTCCAGCGCCGAAGTTGTAGACTGACTTTAATGGATAAAGTTAAGAATGAAGAAATTAAACGTAAAGCCTAAGTATGTTAATACACCTTAGAAGCAAAAAGAATAAAATGAAATGGGCACATGCAAAAAATTGTATTAAAATCTCTGAATTTTTCAAAATTCAAAATTTTTGCAGCGTCTTTCTCCGACTACAGTTATGAATTTTTTAATGAAATGTGTTCATAAAAATAAGGTAATATTCGATCTTTAAATAATGTTCAATTTTTGAAAATAATAGTATTTTTGCGTACTTTTACTTCAAAGATGGGCAATTTTAAATTTCAAACAATTATTTTCTCCGAAACAACTCATTTTGTCATGAATGTAGCAAGGACCGACGAAGAAAGTGGTGCTCGTCCCATTTTCGGCGCACATTGGTAGAATGAAGAATTAATGATAGAAACGAGCGTTGTAGACAAAATCTGATAACCAGACATGTTTGCTCTCGTGCAATGGGACTATTTAAATCGAAAAACGAACAACATTTGTAGTTGTCATAAAATTATTTTTGACAAAATAATCAAACTCCCCACTCCTCCCGCCACTAGCGAAACAGGAGCTCAAGGAAAAGTGCGCGTATAATAGCCTACTCGATTTCATCGCTCCGAAATTGTCACGTCAGCCGTTGTGAGCATGCTTGTATGTAATCTAAAGGTCCTGTGCCGCCTACAAGCGCCATTGTCTGTTCGGCCGATTTCGCGATAACTAAAAAAAATCTTGGTGAAGAACAGCCCAGACCAAAATTTCTCAAGCTGAGTTCACTTGAAGGAAAGGAAGGAGCCTCGAATTCATCAGTAACGTATCTAAAGCTTGAGTTGTTCATCTGAACTGTTTTTGATCAATTTTTTAACGTAATTTTTCTTTGCTTTTAGGGCATTTAAAAAAATTTAAAATTTATTTGATCAATTTTGGCGATGTTTAAATTATTAAAATCCACCCCAAACTTATTATAATGGACTTAAAACTGGTTGTTTTTTATTCGGCATGATTTGCATTAAGCGTTAAGGAACGTGTGCAGTGCTTGTCCAAATTTACACGTTTATTCGAATGTATTGTAATGGGAAGGTCGCACGCCTCAGGTTACGACGCGTATATCAACGTTTTGTTCTATGTTTTGTTCTGAGTTTCAACAGAATTTGGAAAGCTTACATCAATGAAGCCCCGATCGGGCAGAAACAACCGCGGACGCCCGCTCACCAATCGCGGAAAACGAAGCGGGGGAGGGCAACGTGATCCGCGAAGCGTGGAGCAACACACAAGCTCGGTCATTCCGATAGAGGAAGCGACAGCGAGTGGAAGTGCCTTTCCGAGGTACGGACGAGGACGAGTTTCTTTGGCTTACGCCAGTGAAAACATTATCGCATCACCGCCGCCCGAATGCGTCATCGCCACATCGCCGGCCGCTTCTGGGGTAACTAACTCAAGGACGAACGCCACGGGCAATGACTGTGGGTGCCTGACCTCGAACCCAGGACTGACGTCGGGCCCAGGCGCAACCACCGAGGCCGCGAACCACGCAGCCGATGCTCGGTCCAGGAGTAGGTAGCACCCGAGAAGCCACCACGCCGCCTTGCTAATGGACAAAGGAGTGAGGCGAGACGCAGCCGTCGCCTGACCGCGCCGCCACCTGACCGCACCGCGCCAAGCACCAGGGCGAAGGGCCGCCGCTCCCGTAACCCGGGTCGTGGCCGCCGGGAAGGGCGCCGCTCTGCTTAGAAGGATAAACTCTGGCCCGTGCAGCGTAGTTTAAGATAAGTAAGGTTATAAGCTAGTTTTAAGGAGTAGTTATAACGGGAGGCTTCACCTCATGACATGGAAATATTAAATCCACCTTTGAAAATACCATGTGTTTCAATGATCTATTAGAACGAGGGTAATCCCTATCACGCATGCCTTTCTTTAAAAGAGTCTACAGACTGAGCAGTCGGGACAACTGGATTGCCATAACCGAATGAGTCGGGGCAGCCACACGCTGTGTGTGGTTACCGTACGCAATGTGAAAGGACAGCCTAGAAGTGAGTAATATTTAACTGCCATATCTACAGATTTGTTTAAAATAGTATTAATTCATTTGCTATTTCATATTATTTTAACTTTTTCAAACGTACGAAGTTGGATCAGTTTTTGAAGGCGAGTTGGCCGCAAAAGAGCAACGTTTTAGCGGGTTTTCTGCTTTTCGGGTCATCTTGACTTTGATTTCAGCTTGAAGATATTACTTACGAAAATACTAATCATGAATTTGTTTGGTTGTAAGTCTTCATTTTTTTTAAATGAATAATGTAAGAATGAACTTAAAATACACTTGGAGTTACGGCGAAAAATATATTTAGGTACGTATTCAAAACAGAAGAAATATTGTTCCATACAAGAAGTTTATTAAAGCCACATTGAAAACTGAACAATTCCATTTATGGCGAATAATGGTGTTTTTGGCAAGAATTGATAAAAAAAGTCCCATTGTTGCCATCCCTATCACTTTTTTTAATGCTGCGTCTGATAATGACGCAACGCGTCTCCAAACTCCTAGGAGGGCGTTGAGCGCTTGCTAGGAGTAATCCTCAGTTAACATTTTTGTTATTCGGAGAAATCCGCTAATTTGTTGCCTCCTGTCCACTCTCGTCGAAGTCAGTCGTTTAAGATGACCGCCAGGTAGTATCTCCGTGTACGCGCCTCTTACATTACACGCTCCTGCGTCACTACGCGGCGGACAGAATTGGGGTAAGGTTTTTAGGCAGGCTCAGGGAATATACTAACACATGTGAAGCAGCCAAACTCGTTTTGTCGGAACATATTTCACACGAGATTATGCGGGAATCGAACCCGGACCTCCTTGGAGAAGGCGAGTGACTTCGCTCTGAGCCAGCCTTGTGTGTTGTTCTGGATTGAAATTGCGGTATAATATTACGTAACCGTTACTAAAGGCGTGACAGTAATATAATTCTTATATATATATATATATATATATATATATAATTCTTATATTACTGTATATAAAACAAAACCGAACTAAGTTTCGAAAGCATGGATGTCGCACTCCAACACTTTGCAACAAGCAGTATTGTTTGGACGTTTTACAATAGTTCATTTCATGATCTTACTTATTATTGTTACCAAAGATAAGAAAATAAAGTTTTTCGAAAATTTCACAACCTTGGTACATAATCTTGATAGAGATCCTTACGTTTTTGAGGAAGATGATTTGTCGGCAACAGCAACACATACACTACACAAAATCTATTCCACAAAAAATAGCTCTTAAAAAAAGGTCACACACACTTATTTTGAAAAATCGAGTAGTTTTTGCCCATTTCGTGCTTGGAATTTATGTAATTTCTAGAAGAAAAAAAAAAACTTCACAAACACCGCTCCAATTTTTTTCTTTAATTTTCTCCTTGTGTGTATCAAAGGCAGTAAACATTTAGTGCTCCTCGCATTTTCGGTGAACACGCCGAAAATTTGCATTAAAATCTGTTCTATACTACGGTTTTATCACGAAGCGCGTCAGTGGCTGTCTTCACGATAGAATATTCACGGGATTTCGTGTCTTTCTCGGTCGTGCTGCGAATGTTGCATGATCGCAACCGTATCAAGCAGTGCGCTGTGTCTAGCGGCACGACTGAAAAATATGCGACACGCCGTGATATATTCCATTTTGACATGACGACAGGCCACAACGATCCATGTTATTTGAAAAATAAAAGTAGTTATCATGTAACTTCCTGTTGAAATTAATGCTAATTATAAAAATAACGTTTTCTTAAAAACAGCCCCAATTTTTTTCATTAAATTTCTTTCACGGATAAAGCTAGGGATGCCTAAAAGAATGGTGGATGTTCCACTTTTGTGGCTCTTTCTGAATTTTCGAAAACTGTGTTGGAAATATTGGGTTGAGACATTTAGATTTTTAAGCGTCAGCCCGAATTGGGACATCACAGCACCAGCAGTTCAATGGTGTTGAGGTACGACGCACAACCATGGAGGACCTAGGTCTGAGTCTCAGTGTGGAAATGTGTTTTGCTGTTTGAAAACACTCTTACAGATATGTGTTCCATTATAATAGTGTGTAGCAGTTACAAATAATGCGAAAAAGTATGTGCTATTTTGAAACGCTAGTTTGTATTTTAATTTCCCTGTTTCCCAGGTTGTTTCAGAAACTGGTCACCCTGGAAAAGACAACTAATTGATAATGAGCAACTAAATCAAAACCCATGATGCTATTTTGTGACATTTCCCCTTCTTCAAATACAATAATTTTAAATGAAATATACATCAGTTTATAAAACTTAAAATTACTCTTAATGCGTCCATAAAACGAATATGGTGGATGTTAACACTTATCCTTCTTTGGACACTAGGTTCACAGAATGAAGAATCAGCACTGAAATATGTAATATTTTATATTTATTTATTTAATTATTTGGTGGGAAACTCTAAAGAACATAATCATTTTATAAAGTAAAAAGGTGGTGTAATTATAACTTAAGACACTTTGTAATAGTATATTTAAAAGAAAGAGTATGGTGAGACCACATAATTTGGAAGTATTTCACATTTATAAATATTTTACAAAGGACACATTGCATCTAATCAAATCAATTATCTCAAAATAAATATTTAGTTAAACAATAATAATAATAATTAACCACAATAATTATCTTTTAAAATGCCAGGAATTCACAAATATCCATTTTAATTAGTGCTAAAATAAATATATCTGAAATGCAGTGTCTTCGTAGTTAGCTACTTTAATTACTTGATGTGTCCTAGTACTTCAATGTGACAGAAAATCATATTATAGAAGAATGAGATTAAAAATTAACCATAAAAAAGCACACTTCAGTCAGATATGTCTTCCCAGCACAAATTAAATGATTTCAATGTGTACACTGATTCTGAGAATTTAATTTTAAATAATTACAAATAAGTTAACAATAAATATAACATAACCCCACCTTAGTTTCACCTATTTCTATTGCCTAAAGCAATGAATATTTTAGTTAAGATATAACATTATTGATAGGATAAATAAAAAGTGTTTTCTTGAACTGTTCAATATCTGTAATATATTGATTAGCTTCTTTATCAGTACCGCTCAGCAGTTGTAGGCAGAACTGAGACCCACTTGCAACTGGAACAGAACATTTTCACAAAACATTAAAAAATGAACAAACTAAAAAATACTTAATAGTGATAATGTACAAATTGTGTTTTTTTTAATCATCGATCTGATCACTCCCAATTTCATCCTCAAGCAGAGGCTATTTTATATTCTAATCTTCACCATACATCTAAGATGAATCAAAATAACTACACCCGATTTATACATATATTTTGTTCAGTGGCGAGGCGTTCGGTCATCGATAAATGTGCTGATTACCCAATAAAATTATAAAAATAATAAATTTTCAATATTTTAGAAAATATTTTAATATTACGAAAAAGCCTACAGACATTTTAATAGGAAAAGTGAAGGGGGGAAGGATGGGAAAAAGCCTACAGACATTTTAATAGGAAAAGTGAAGGGGAGAAGGATGGGAAATAGCCATGAATCAAGAAGAACGTAAAGGATTCGCCGATACGGCAGTAGTAGCGCTTCGAATTGAGTTCGCCGCTGCTCGTAGTGACTCATTCGGCCGCTTCCGGCCATTTTCCTCAGCACGGCGATCCAATCTTCGCTGTTTTTGTACAATCTCGACTTTTCCTGGCCATGTGCGGTGAAACGCCATAATGACGTAAGAACTTGTGAAGGTGCGTTAACACGCACCGCACTTGAAGGCTTGTTCTTTGCAATGTTAAACTAACATTTGAATTCGTACAAGCCACTACTGTTTTCAATGCAAAATTTTAAAAATACAAAAATCTTTCTAATTTTACATAATAAACAATTTTTTTTTTTGAGTGGAGGTGACTTACCTAATAGTTCTTGGCTTGAAACTAGAGTGGGTGAAGCACCAGTAAGTGTCTGAGTTAAACACTTTTCAGTTTCTGTAAAAACAAAGAAAGAAAAGTTATTGAATACTGTACACCAAAAATTTCTATTTTACCAAATATATTTAACTAATATTTAATTTTAATTAAAAATAAAGAATTAATGTAAGATGCATAACAGATTGTTTGCATTATTTAGACACCATTTTAATACTGCCAAGGAAATGAACAATATGCATGAAGAAATTCTGGAAATAAATCTTGAACATAACAGTTTGAACATGCTAATTGGATTTTTAGTTTGACTTATTTTCTTCATTGATCCTTTGTAAGGTAGGTCAAGTAAGCTAGGTATGGTGATGGGACCATGTCATGCTCACCACATGTCTCCCATAACCCTAGGTTGGATAATACATAAAATCAGGGCTTAGGCCTAGGATCACCACTAGCTAGCAAAACTTGGATTAATCCAACCCTATAATGCCAAATACATACATGAACTGCTTAAGAGAACATTCTATCCAAAGTATCTTTTTAGGCAGCATATTCTTGAATCATATGTAATAACACACAAACTCTTCAAGGTTTTATCTTTATTAATTGCTCATTCTTCACAGAACAATCACAGGAATGCAAGAAATTATGTTATTGATTTTATCAACTAACCAGAAGCAATATTGGGTCTAATGATACATACAAAACAATTATAGAAACCTGAATTAAAAAATCTTAATTTATCCATTAATTCATGGAAATATGATTTAAAGTAATATCATTTGAATTTTCTAAGTGATTATTGTAGTGTTACAAAGTAGGATACTATGTTGCAATATTATATCAGATAATCATGAACAATTATGAGAAAGTATGTGCAGTTTGCCTTCTGACAGAACAACTTCCTTCTCCTCTGTGTATGTCAGGAATTCTCTGTGGTCCGCCTTCTTTCTCTTTTTCGGAGGCGGCTAGCTTTCAGTTCAACTCCATCATCACATGTTGAAGTTTGGCTGAATTACAGTTATACACTGGAATTCTAGGTGTCATAGAGATTTCTTTGCACTTTCACCCTTCCCAGGTGAGTTAGTCTTTGTTTTGCAATATTAGAGGTTGAATTTTTTGTTGAATCAGTTGTTACATTCTTTTGAAATCCATTTAGGCGAGAGTTTACGGGCCAGGAGCACCTCACCTCACCTTTGTCTGCAACCCAACTTTGTCATTCTTTCAGTTGCTCCCCACCATCCCCCACCATCTGATGCTGACGCAGGCAATGACTGGCATGGTTTTCCTCTTATTGAAACTCTTCACAAGGAAAGTTCCCTTTTTACCATATGGTCAAAGGGGTAGGGGTCAGCAGTGACTTTACCAACTCCAGTTATGAGAACCACTGTTGACTGATAATTCAATTCTAACACTACTTCTGTGGGTATCAGTGCAAATGGTTGGGTGACATCCTTTGTGAGTGTCTAGAATCTTTTGCAATTTCTGAAAAGTTTTCATTGACAAAATTAATCACAGCAGCAAGGCTGTTCACTCTCCTACCTTCATCTTCCAAAATAAAATTTTCTACTAAATGTCTAGATGAAGTGATCATATTCAAGACCATTCCATTCTTCTTTTGGTACGGAAACACACACTCGTGAATGGAATTTTTATTTTTCCCACTTTCTTACAAATCAGTCTTCCATTTTTATCTTAGATTAGCATTCCTCATGGAAGAAAGTACATTGAAAATATCTATTTTAGATTTAGTTACAAAGTAAACTGATATTTCCACTAAGCAAGTTTTGTTACCTTACAATGAAGAACATATAAAACAGATAAAATCACGACTTCTGCAAAAATTAATCTCAGGGCAAAAATATCACTTACGTGTATCAACATTAGGGGTAGTACTGCAATCAGAGAGAGAGCTGGATGCTAACTTTTTGGAACATACATTATCCGATTTTTTCGTATGACCACTAACCTGAAACATAGCATGTAAACAACTTTCATTAACACAGATTATCCATTAAACATTTCTCAAATATATTTCAAAACATTTTACTCTTTATTTTGACTCCATTGCCTAACCTTGATAACAAAAATGCAAACTAGAAAACTTGATTACAAAATTTAATATTGGGAAAAAGTTTACTTGATCTAAATAAGAAAGTAAAAAGGAGTTTTTCAAAATGCTTTTCCTCAAATTAAAGAAAATAAATCAATTGAAAAAAATAAAATGTATTAAATTTTCAAAATTAATATTTCAAATCCACAAAACTGTTAAACAATAGTTCACAAAATTTATTTACATAGTAATAGAAATCGTAAAAAAATGTCCACAAAATTCACTAAAATTGTTTACCGTCCTTGAAATATCAATTATGTATCACAAATTTTAAAGAAAAGTGTGAGAAACCTTTTAAAACAAAGAGTAATTCACATTCCTCTTAAAGGTATCTAATTCTTAAATTAATATTTTTAAAGGCAATCTTTTAGTTCAGAAATTTTATGTAATTATTAAAAAGGTTCCATATATAACATGAAACTATAGTGTCGTTATGTAATGTCCATCTCTTGCAAATATAGTCTGTATTATCCATATATAATACAGGATCTGGTAAAATGATCTCCCATATTTCAAAAGGCAGTTACAAACCTACAGTGTAAAGGAATTTTCAAATTACAACATTTCCCTTAAAAAATATAAATAAATAAGAATTTCTTATTCGATTAGACTTTTTGTTTCATGTGAACTGTTTCAAGCTGAAGCAAAGAAAAAAGAACTGCATATCACATCCTGTGAAATAGAAGGAGAATAGAAGAAAAAGTGTGAGAAATAAAGTCAAACAGATAAATTTTAAAAATAAAACATAACATTTTTAAGAAAAACTGATTTTTTTGCACTCGCTGAAACTTAACAATAGGATCCTGGGGAAGCAAGGCATGCTAATGATTGCTAATGGAAACTTCCAATCTGAAAAATGTTTTTTGGCAAACCATTAAATAATAATAATAATAATAATAATAATAATAATAATAATAATAATAATGACAACAACAACGAATATAAAAGTTTCTATCATGTATTTTAGTACAATCAATTATATCTGTTCACGACTGCAAATTTCCTATTTACTGATGTTCAATTGTTGAGTCACTGTGAAAAGATATTTTGACACGTTGTTGTTGTTGTTTTTCCCTATTTATGTATTTTAAGTCGAAGCACTTTTGAATTTTTTATTTTAAAAAGATTACATAATTTTTAGATTGAAAAAGTTTCACTTTGGAAAAGCTCCACAGCTGATTAGCAGCAGTTTTATAATAACTTGAAATACATTGTTTCAGAGATATTCTATATATAGTCATAAAAATTCGATTCGCTATAGAAGTAGTGAAACAGTAATTTCTTGTAATAGTCTTGTAATTAGAACATACAATTTCTCAAAAACAACACCTGTATGTTTTCAACAAATGTTTCTTACTTTCTCTAACCTTTACATTTCATCTCACTGATTGGAAGTGAGGAAAGGAAACTTGTTACTCACTTGACAAGAAAGTTTACGAAAATTAGCTTTATTTCCATGGGCAATATGTCTCGCCATCCATTTACGTAAATCAGAAAATGTAAGTTTCTCTATACAGGCCACCTAAAAGAAACATTTCAGGAAGAAATAAATAGAATTAAGTAACACAAAAATACAATAAAAGACATATCAATGTTTCACACAAGCAATAAATTTATTGCAGAGTATATCTGGTGAATTACCTCTTTTTCTAGTCTATCAAATAGATAATCATTTGCAGTAATTTCATCCCAATTGCGAGCCACTTCATCCTTGAGATGTAGATCTGCACATTGTTTTAACTTAATTATAGAATGTTTTGCACGTTCCAATTCTTTGTCTGACATCTTTCTCAGTTTGTTGTAAAACATCTTCAAAAACGATTCTATTCGTTCATTCACATGTTCTGTGCTAAGAAAAAAACAATGAAATGGAAAGATGAAGCACCTATTTCAACTATGAATAGTTTTCCTACAATCAAACATTAACAAATAATATTAAAGTATTACACTCATCAGTTACTAATAATAAAAAATATAAACGAAAGTGCTCAACATCAACTAGACATAAACATATTTTCTAAACCCCAAAAGTGTTCATAATTTCTTATATTTACTAATTTAGTTTTCCATTCACAATGATCATCAGTAGAGGGATTTACTTTCACAAAGTTTGTTATATTACATGCATCATCAGAAAGGTATGTTATGTGCTAGTTAAAAGTAAGCAAATCAATGACGAAAACAATATCAATAGTTTAATGTATTTTCTATTGATCTTACTAAAATTTTAGAATAAAATAAAGTAAAAATTTAGAATATACCTGGTATTTCACTGTAAATGAAAAAAGCTGCCGGTAATATTTTTTGACAATTAAATTTTTTTTTTATCTATTTCAATCTGAAGACCTAAATGTGGCATACCTATTAATTGGATGCATCAGCTTCCTTCCCTTTTCCCATTTGCTACATGTCTTCATAAGAAACAAACCAAACTTATTTTTGAATTTGTTAAACTCTTATTGCACAGGCCAGAATGCAGTAACTCCTGTGAACAGATTCATTCACAGCTATGTTACCTACATTTTACAAGACATCAGATAAATTTGTAGGGGGTTCGCTAGAAAATAAAATCACGTGATGGGAAGACCCAATTTGTTCTGTCAACAAATCCAGTCGTTCATGAGGCTCTGTTATATTTTAAATGCAGTGAAGAACTCTGGATTTAAGACTCGTGATTGAACACCAGCAAAAGGGTGCTCAGAATGAAGATTTGGGGGTGGGAAGGCAAATTTATCGCTAGCCACAACTTAATTGGGAATCTGAATTTTTTCTCCTTTAAAACATTTAAGAGATGTATATACTTCTCATTCAAATTTATTGCAACAAGTTATTTCTGTTGCTTGAAAAGGTGAATTCTGTTTAGGAGGGGGAGGGACACTTGTTTGAAATAAGGGTCCTTATGAATCTATTGCCACAGTTCTCTTTGGCTTCTCTGTGTGCCCCTATTAACAGGCCAGGTGACACTCGCCACACCAGGAAGGCCATAAGATGTTAATTCTTCTTACGTTTTGTATACTGAATAATGGTTGTATATTTTTTTAAATTTGTGCACTTTTTGTTGAAACACAAATTCAATTTAAAAGTTTTGAATACTTCTTAAATAAATGTGTCTTTATGAAATACCCAAGCATTTGCTGGGCAAGTTGTGTTTGCTCACCCCTTCCACTTCATGGGATCTTGTCATCAATCCATGTAGCATACTGAGTATCCACAAGCAATTTGGTCATTTGCGTGCTCTCTCTGAAAACCTTTATCCCCTCCCCAGGCCTTTGAGATGTAAACTAACAGCATGGAGCTATATGCCCCACTGCCACCACTGGCAAACTATCGTTCACCATCGCCAATGCTTCATCATGTTGACGCCTAGGTAGCATCTCAGTTTCCCCCGGACCTACACTAAATATGTAGATTAATCTCTTGTATTAGCTTTGCAGTTAACACAAGAATAGTTTAACCCAATTATGACTCAAAAGTAATTATACGAATGAAACATGAATATCCAATGTTAATTAAATACATGTTAACTAGCTGGATCAACATGAACATTCCACACAATAAATAATTGTTTTAAAAGTAAATATAGCTTCATACTGGAGCCTAACTTTGAACATTTCTGATAATCCATACCCTCCAAAATCGTAATGGAACATCCTAAAATATCTCATTCTGTAGATTATGATATGTGAAATATAGCAACTCCAAAATTAAATCTTTTCAATAAAAACCAGATAAAAAAGGCATACCACATAAAGCCAAATTTGAACCAACGTATCCCATTAGGAACAAGAAATCCAGGTATTAAGGGACTCAAGAATGCGTAGTTACCAAATTATGCATAATGCCAACCTGTGTTGTGGCTTAACATGACACAAGTTGCATGTGTGCCTGGTCCTCTTTCCTTTGAACCATAGTCTACAACATCCAAATTGTTCGATGCATCCTGGGAATCTCCAGAAACAATAATTTAGTTCTCCATACAGCAGTAGCCCATAAGGGTTTATGGCGATGCTTTCTTATAAATGGTACAAAACTTTCATCTTCCCTTAGCATATTATATTTAGAGAGGCTGGAGAATACTTAAGGTTGTAGCACAAACACGCTATAACTGACAAGAGATGCCTCCGATTGATATTAATCAATTATTAAAAAATATATTGTATACGGCTTGATAAACCCTTGTCAAAAATTCAATATAATATCCATGTCTAGTGAAACCTGTCTTAAGTGGTTCCAAATAGTTTGGATGGAAATAAGCCACTAATAGGGGTTTAAGATATGGGATGAGTATATCAAATCTAATTATGCTAATTAGACTTGATATATAGAATATTTCCTTTAACTCTTTTTAAATAACATTAATTACAATACAACTTAAACAAGGAATCTTGGAGCACTTGCCTCCTTTGGCTAGTATCACTCATTTCCTTGCTTGAAAAACCTCACATTGTGTCTTCACTGAAAAGAAACATTTACTAAAATTATCGGCTGTTATCTCAAGAAATTAATCTCCCTATGAGATAAGTGAATATACATTTCATAGTTAAAAAGTAATCAGACAATGCATCCCATTGCAAAAAGATACTGATTCAATAGTAATCTACAGTTTTCTCATGTCTTATTCTTGTGAAAAACACTGCAAGCAACCACTTATGATAGAAATATGTCTGTCAGAAATCAATCAATGAAATGTGCCCGACTGCTTGAAGAAGAAAACATTTACATGTCTAAAACACACAAGAAGGGGTCTGTGTAGTTCATAAAGGAGGTGACTGCTTAATTGAAGTGACTGTTTGAGGTTTCAATGCAGTTACAAAACAAGAAATAGTTATGCTACTCAAAATCAACTTACCTTAGTCACTTTATTTCCCTATAAATTTCTTTTTTTAAGAGAGTTGCTACTCCAGTAAAACGTTTAATTTCACATTGAAGAACTTTCAATGCTGCTACATTTTGAGAGCACAGAAACATTTAATTATTTTGATCAACACATTCTGCACCCAAGAAAACAGGAAAATAAACCGATTTACAAATTTCAAATGAAAAAATATTTTCTTGCTCTGATTGGAACACAAAGAACAAATTTGCATGCAACTAACATAAGTAGAACACTTTTCATCTCACATTTTAAAATATGACAGGAACATATCAGTGGTCAAACAGAAGATATGGCTTAAAGCCTGAACTTCGCTATAATTGAATGCCTGAACCATGCAACACTAGCTGACTACCGTGTTTACCCGGAAATTTATTCATTACTATCCTCTATTATGCAGGCTCGCTTTAACTGTCTCCTTTGCACTCTCTATCCAGCCTGACATTGCCGACGTGCCCACTCCTCCTGTCCCATCCAGCCAGCCTCTTCTGCTCTACTTGTTCCTTCTGCTTATCACACACTACCTATTTCTATTCTTTCTATTACAACCAATCCTTCCATTTAGTCCTCTTTTTTGGAACTGTGCTGCCTCTTCTTCCTTCTGCTCCACCCACCTACCCCTCCCTCTCTTTTTCCTCCTCCCACAACGTTTGCTCAGTCTGCTCTGTCCATTCATTGTTCTCCTCCCATCCTGTTTGCTCCACCAGCTCCATCCAGTCTTACAGTCCATCCAACCTGGTAATTATGCATTAGTCATCCGGTAATAATGCTGCCCAGAAGCAAAATCTTCATACAAAATTTGGAAGCAATTACTCCTGTGGTTCTAATTAATTTTTTTTGTAGCACATAGAAATACACTCATAAACACTATCATCTTTATCCAATAGATTATTAGTCCACGATTTGGTATTGAAATTATTAAAATCCCTCTACTGTTGATTACAGACCACTAAGACGATTTACATGACAATATTATGTAAGTCATAAGTTTTCATCTCCCATCAGAAAAATTAAATAATAATAAAAAATAAAAGAAAACTTGTCAAAGACTTCAAAAATTCAACAGAAGACATACTATAGTAGATTATTAAATTTAGAAAAAAGTTATTACTGTCTAATATACAAAAAACTGACAAATATTTCATCATCAGAAACGAATATTGAGTATGTTTCAGAAAAGAGGGACATCAACAAAACAAAGAATATTTGTTTTGTACATTTATTAGTATAGGGACCAGCTAAAGAATATCCCTCAGCCTCATCACCTGCACCCACATACCATGTTCCGCACATGCACAGACAGTATATTCCTGAACTAAAAACATCTCTCTCAACTCTAATACCACGAGACAATGTAATGATCATGGTTTTCAGTTTGATGCTTAGTGCAAGTTGATTCATATTTTGTGACAAATCACCAAGGGTATTCTCTAGTGCGGGTCCCTATATTGCAGACACAAAAGGTTGTGGACAATTACTCTACATAGTCACCATTTAGTTTAAACATTGAAGAAGTTCAAGAATTTCCCATCCAAACTGTTGATGACAAACTCGTTTTAGAACTGCTGAATGTGAAAGAATGTTATTATGAATCAAAACGTTTTACAGCACAGGCAGTAGTTACTTTTCAAATAATGGTACTAGAAGTAGTGGTTTTGTATTGGACCCTGAAGTTCACCAAGTACAAAGATGGCATTGAGAAACATATTAAATATTATGTTACATATTTGAACTTGAATAGCACCTATACATAGAAGTAATGAAGATTTTCCAGTAATTGTATATATTGTTCTTTAATTTGTGTCTTTAAACTAGTAAGAGACAAATGTTCTTTATTTTGTGGATGGTCAAATATGACATTTTCATCTCATCAAGTTCAAAATGTTTAAGAAATCATTCACAGAGAAAGTGCTCATATATCTCTAAAGCAGGTGTACCTTCCCAAAATCACCTCAGCTCTGACTGATGTTTGGATCAAAATCAATTATTAATTTGCTAAGTGACATTTACAAACAAAATGAACTCTTACCTGTGCTTGTCAGCTTGACAATTGACAGTAATTGAGAAACCCAGAATTCCAAAAGTATCTCGTAACATGTTGAAAACATGATATCCTAGCTGCTCTTTTGTTCGTAAGATGTTGAAGAGAGGTTCTTCCATCAGCAGCTACAGGGTAATGTGAAACATTAATAAAAAATATTGTAAACACATATTAACTTTTTACATTAAACTTACCATAAGCAATTCAACAATACACATATCCTTAATTGTTGCCAATCCCGACTGATAGTAATTGGTGACAACACTATTTACATCTTCTTCATTGAAAGAAGAAATTTTGCAGTAATGTTCACCTACAGGTAATTGGCATACTCTTAACTGCAAAACAAAAATTTAAGTAAGTATTCTTTTAAGTTATTACACATAATTTTCATACATGTTCACAATAATTCGCATCTAACCTCTGGCCAAGTATTTTGAAGAAGAGGTCCACACTCTAAACGCTTGACAACATTTGAGCAGATGCTAAGTGCTTCCTCAGAGACAATATTTCCTTGGATAAGGCACTGAATGTACAAACTTTTCTTGAATTCAATGGAGAAGTTTTTAACCATTTCCATTGTAATGTTTCGAAGAGCTGAGTGTTTATCTAGCCCACTCCAATATATTTGCATAACTACAGAAAAGCGTAACTCCCTGATGACACAAATGAAATTAGAATAAAAGTCAAGAAAACAAGACAAATTTTTATCATTCAAATTCTGTCAATTTTCTAAAAATACTATAATTACTAGCATTTCCAAACTTGAAACTGTATTAAGACCACTAAAATTCAAATATGTTCTATTACTTGATAATACAAAATCAGATCTCTCCACAAATGCACACAGAAGAACATATATTAGCTCAATGTGTAATAATATATACAGTAAAACCTGTCTAAGCCAGAATCGTTTGGGTCCAATATTTTCTTCCATCTTGTACAGGTTTCCGGCTTATTCAGGTTTGTAACAAAAACTGTTCGAAACGCAACCGTTCAAAGACGGAATAGGTTGAATGAGTTTATCTCACCCCAAAACTACATTTCAAAAAGAGTTCATGTTTTTCATTTGCCACCTGACATCATAAATACTTGATTAACCCAACACAACATAAAGACCTGCAACTTGTCGAATTGAACAACAGTAATCATTTAAAATCATTGAAATCAAAGCATACACTACAAAAACTGCGGATGTATTACTCTTCACGTCTCTCCTTCATTCACATGGGCTTGTGAACATCAGTGTTAGTGTAAATAAATAGAGGCTTTGGCATTAATAGTATCGGAAATATTATGTTCAAATGCAGCTAGCAGAGAAAGCGAATATACAAGCACAATTCTGAATGTTTCCTATAAGATGTCGCCACACAAGTCAATGTTTAATTTTAAAACAATATTTGTTTTCCATCTTGTCCAGAATTTTTAATACCATCCAACAAAAAACTCCTTTCTGTTTCTGTGTTAGGCTGGTTTCCAGCTTATCCAGTGTACTTTGCATTGGAAAATAGTCCGTTTGGATTTTTTTTTTCTAGCGAAGGCAGCTCTCCACCTTAGACAGGTTTCTCTGTAATACCTTTGGTTTCCTAGGTTGAATTTAACTTCTACAAGATCTTAAATTCATGAAACAAGTTATAGAAATTCTATAACTTGTTTTTAATAACAAACAAACCTTAAGTAATAGAAACCTCTGTCAAAACTACAAAAGTTATTTGAGAATATTTGGATTAAGTAAAATAAATATTCAAAAACTACTTTTTAAAAACAATACTCACTTTACCATTTTACGTGGTTTCAAGAAATTATTATAATAAAATTTCAATTGCTCTTCCTTCATGGCATCAAACATTCTCTGATTTAAATTATTTTCAAAATTTGCCATGTGTTTTATTACAGTGTCAACTAGTAGCTAGAAAATAAAATAAAAAAATCTCAATTCTAAAGCAACATTTCAGCAATGACTTTTCTTAAAAAATTCAGACTGTACACATATATAAATTCATCAGTAACATGCCATATTTGAGGCAATGCACTTGGGTGCATTGCAAACTGCAATAAAATTGAATCATCCCTTAATAAAATGAAATACAATGATAGCAAATAGCATATATTAAATATAAAGTATGTACATGATCAGGTGATGAAGTCTTCCCAACAAACATTCATGTACTGGACCCCATGCAATACACATGACATATTGACAATTGAATTGAATTGAATTGAATTTGCCTTATTTTACGTGGCGAGACAATGGAATCTGTCAAACTAATACACGCAATATATGACTTTAAATACTTGGAAACAATAGGAAAACATGTTACGAAAAGGAATGTGAGTAAATCAAATGATTGAAGGGAAAACTTGTAAGAGCCATGAACCCAATGTTGCAAGATTTAAATAAAAGTAAACATACTAGACATACTTAATTTAAAGTTGTTGATACATTTGAAAAATTGATGCAAGGCAAATATATTTCATGAGTATGAATGCCTTGCATTACTCTAATTTCAATCATAAATCAACTAATTAAATATTTATTTAGATTTCCACATTCAAAATAGTAACGTTTGAGCAAATCTATCATCTTTTTCACTCCAACTCCATTCTAAGAGATATTTATTTTACACAAAAAAATAACTGAGATAGTAAAATAATTTAAGTCACCTTAATTGGTCAGTTTTAATTCTTTAAACAAAGGAATGATAGCAAATCAATGCTTTGTACTTTGAAAAAAATACTTACATGTAATTTTTCATTGTATCCATCCACTTTCAAGATCAGGCCTTTATCACTAGTGTAAATGGAAGTATGCAGTAAAGCTTCTTCAGCTGGATATAATGTTTCAACCATCTGCTGTTTAATTAGTGTCACATATAATTCCAACATAACACAGCTGTATAGAAAAATAAGAAAAAATGAAAGTTTCCAAAATCTCATAGAGAACGGTTAAAAGGAAATATTTCTGAATCTTGTTCTAGAGTAATAAACTGAAATGACACACACTTTAGTAAGTTAAATATATTTTAGTAGCAACTAATTTTTAACCTCCCTCCCAAAGAGTAATAAACTAAAATGACACACACTTTAATAAGTTAAATATATTTTAGTAGCAACCAATTTTTAACCTCTCTCCCAAAAATCAAAAAAACTGTCTTAACTCGAGATAGGAAAATATGTTTCTCACAACCTTTCTGCTTGGATTTTTAACTACTTAGGATCACATTCGGGCTTGTATTGACAAATACAATATTATGTACAACACACACTTTCAGTGATTGAACTTAATCCACTTTATGTATACTCACCTAAGAGGAGATGCCAGAGGTAAAGGAGATATGAAATAGAAGTATATGTAAGCAATAGGAAGCTGGAACTTAGTGTCTGGACGATACCACACTTCCATTAATTTGTCCTGGAGAATTTTGTAAGGATATTTTGGAACTGGTTCAGGGCTTTTAATAAGATCAAAGTTTTCAGTAAGAAATATGTTGGCAGGAGGTAGAGTGAAAGAAGGATCAGGTTCTGCCTTTCTCCAGGTCTCCAGCCACGTAGAAGGAACATCTATGACAACAAATATACATATTAACTGTTTTTTTGTTCATTGTAGTACCCAAGTGGCAAATGTTTATAAAATATTTACCTGTATAAGTATAACGTGTTCCAAACCATGGCTCTTTGTATTTAAAATTGATTGAAGTGTCTTTACTAGTTACCATAATATTTGCAGTTTCTGGTTTTAACAAGTTCATTATATCTGTTATTGCCTAAAGATCATGCCAGAACTAATATTAATAATTATTAAGGCTTAAAAATGCATTTTTGTTAGTACTACACATGTTATTCATTGTGTTTCAATCATACCTTAGCATCATATTCAAAGAATAATTTTGGGCCACAAATGTAATCTTCAGGAGGGTAAAGTTGCATGTTTTCAGATAACATCTCTACGTTTTCTGATGAAGGAATCTCTTCTGAAAAACGGAATCCCGTATCTTCTATTGCTTTCAACTCATTAAATATTCTCTCAGACGGACCACATGCCTTCATCATGTTAATATATCCAAATAAACATTCAATCACCTGTTTTCAATTAAATATTATTAATTCCCTAATGTTCCAAATCATAAAAGAGAAGAAATTCAGAAGAAAATCCTCTTACTTTTTCCAAGTTCTGATGTCCTTCTTCTGTCAACACAAGAGTGACTTCAAACAAATAATGCATGGAATTATGTTCTGTACCAGTTTCATCACTCCCAGTATAAATGTCCAAGGCCCATACTCTATATATCACCAAAAAAAAAAAAATAAAAAAAAAAATAATCATAGAAACAAAGACAAGTGAAACAGGTGTTCATCAAACTTTTAGCTTCCTTGTATACATACACAGTAACCTACATCGTGACTTTTTTCAAATACATCTGTCCATCCGTCTGTGAACAGCAGTCTAGCACCTAAACTATTAGTAGGATTTTTTCTAAAATGAATATTCCCCAGTTGATCTGGTCCAACTCGAAGTTATGAGATTTTGGAACATTTTTTAAATTTTGGAGGTACTTTAAATGAAGACCTTGAGACATTTTCAAAAATGGCTCAACATTTTTTCAAAAAGTTTCTCGCATGAATGAATACACTTAGAAAGTTGGCATACGTTTGATTGTCACTATTAACTCTGAATTTTTGAAAAATTACAAAAGTTTGAATTTTTTCAGGGTCTTTTTACAAATACAATATTAAATATGGCCTTTTTTTTTCAAAATGAAATTTTTTCTCTACAATTATTTCTCTCATGACATGTATATTTTTTGGGGAGATCTTGTGTAAAATATGCAGAATATTAAAACATTTACAACCAAGATTTTCCCAAAAGCTTTTCAAATTTCCAAATTTTTTTCTCCAAACTTTAAATAGAGATAGTGATAAATGCAATATATAAGATATCACAAATTCCATTTTGATATATTCGTTAATTTTTTTTTAATTACAGAATTTTTTTTTCTGTCTTTCACATTGTTAATATTTACATTACTGGCTTTTTCCATATTGCTTTTGTGAGTACATATTCTACAAATAATGTCTTATCAAGATCCTCGAAAACTCAAGTTTTCTGTGAAAATAAGTTCAATTTTCTGAAAAGCTCAAATGCCATTTTCTCAAGGACAGCTCCAAATGTTTTCTTCAACATTTTTGTTCAGACAGTGCTATAGTAACATAACATAAATACAACTTTGAGATATTCTTTTGTTTTTCAAAATGTAAACACAGATTTATACAGAATATGTGAAATATTAAATATATATGTAGTAATTTGTATCAAAATGGAGTTAAATATTGACATAATATGATAAAAAATTACTATGGTTAAATATATTTTAATGTCAGTTGATAAATTTTCATCTTTAAATTCTGAAATGTACCTTCTAATTTTACACTGGCTGACTGTGCTACTTATGGCATTTTACATTGGCTTAATAGAGAGATTAATAGAACTGAACCAAAACTTAGTATTCTGACTGGAATGTAACTGACAATGAAGAGCTGTATAATGTATAAGTTGAGTTTTGATGTTCCAGTCGCTACCCCCTCCAGAGGAGAGGGGGTAGTGTGGTTACTGAAACAAGGTGTTTCTAGCACAGACCATAGAAGTTTCAAAGACATCAGTCAAACAAATCCAACAGATCATCGCCTTCTCCCCACCACCCACCCCACACACACACAAACACACACTCAGACCGCTCAGGCAGGAGAGTGGATCCATTCTTCACATAAACTTAAACATTAACACTTTCTTAACTTGCGTTCCCATTGTCAATTTTCCCTAATTAAATAAAAAGAACTCTAATGTTTAAGAAATAACTGAACATTTTGAGATTGAGATGCATTGTTAATATTTAATGAAATTTCACTGTTAAGCTTAATATAGACTGATGCTAATTGGCTGTACAGACTAATTTTATAAGAAACATGGAAAGTATATGGACTTTCATTCAAATATGTACCAAAACAGAAAATATGATAAATGAAAGTATTCATTTATTTAGTATATATGTATTTACATAGAAATCCATTCCCAGGTTATCACATTTGTGAGTACAATTTCTTTAAATAGTTACTTGTGACATTTCTTGAAAAATCCAGTTTTGGATGAAAATTGCTTCAAAATAGTTACAGAAATGCTTAAAAGATGTTTTCTTAAAAGCACTTCCATATTTTCCAATGAAAATGTGCATACAAGACCTCATTTTACCCTTGTATGATATGCTTAAAGTCATATTTCATATTTACTATAAGTGATTCAAAAATTTGAGAAACGCGAAAAAATTACTTTGAGGCACCAATAGATGGTAGTTTGCAAAGACAGCAGGGCAAAACAGAAAAAATAGCCCATATTGGAGAATAAGAAAATGAACTAGTATGAGAAAGTCTGTGCCATTCTGAAACACCACTTGTTTCGTTCTATTTACTGTATCTGTCACTTTTTGACATTTTTTCTAGGGCACCTCTGTACAAATATACCACAATTAAATGAACAAAGAAAAGGTATTATTATGGCTTCAGTGAAGAAGACAATGAAATCAATTACTTAAACAATTAGGTATAATTAGAACTTCTTTTCCATGTACTTACTTTTTTCGTAAGAAAGCTAATAAACTCCCAGGACCTTCATACCCCAGAACAGATGCTATATAATGATCAGGTTTTGATCGATAATGTTTCTGCATTGGAGGCAAAGCCCATGTTAATTCAACCTAAAAACATGAATTTATTTATTTACTTATTTTTACAACTCTCAACAAACTTCTGCATACACAACATATGGTATCATTACAGTATTAACAAACCTGGCATATATCCTTAATTGGGTCCACATAATACAATTTGGTAAATTCAGGAGTACTAAATGAATCATTAATATATGGTGTAAAGTCATCAGGAGGAAGATTATTATTGGGAACTGACGAAAAGTATTCTACTACCCAATCCTGCAATGTCTGAAGGGGAAGTCGTGCCTAAAAAAAGAAAATTCTGTTACACATGACATTTTGACACTTACATTGTCTTTTCCCCCCTTATATTGCCATTTCCCAATTCACCTGCACAGCTAAAGTCATTCGATGAGCAGAGTAGTATCTCTGTCTGAATTCATGTACTTTTTTGTACAGTACATCATCTGAAACATCATCTTTTAGAGTTTTTAAATTTCCCCAAGTAAATTTATGAGCAGGATGGTCTTTCTTGGCTATATTAGCTAGGAGCTGTTGCTTACGATTATAATGTGATGGCATTGATAACTGAAATTCTACAAGAAAACATTACATCAAATTACAATATACTATTACTACTACATTACAACATACTGTTGCGTAATAAAACACCCACTAACAACAACTTTGACAAGTTCACTAACCTGATTCAATTGCTTCTCGCTCTCGAGTCATTGCTTCTCGTTTCATGAGAGGAGATATAAAAAACTGAGCAAATCTATCCATTATATCTGATAAGTGCCGCTCCTGACACTCAAAATAAAACGTTGTGAATTCACATTCTGTTGAAGCATTATCAGAACCACCACGCTTCTAAAAAAACGTTTTAAATAAAATATTAATTTTATACCCTACATACCAAAAGAAGAAACAAAAAATAATTGGTATTTTAAAAAATACACACTTTTACATAAGAATCAAAATCATTTTCCTTTGGATACTTTTTACTACCCATGAAAACCATATGCTCCAAAAAGTGTGCCATTCCAGGTATTGTCCATGGATCACTGAAACTCCCAACACCAACACTAAGACTCAATGCTGCCTAAAAAGAAATTTGAGAGAATTATAGTTGATTTCAACAAAACATTACAGTTTACTTTATTTTAATGCTAGTATTTAATAAATGAATTTAAAATCTGTGTTATAACTTGCTATGCATTATCAATTCATTCATTTTCCATTAGCTTAAATTATTTATTATTTTTAGTATTCCACACTAACTATTGCTAACAAAGCTTTTTCTCCATCAAAATGTGCTCTATCTGTAGAGCGTGCAAGAAAAGATGTCAATGATTATGTACAAATACTGTCCACAAATATCTGCAAGAGACATAGAGCTGAGCAAACGAGTTAGAGTAAGATGTGTAGCAATTCAATACAGCAAAAATTATACCAAGATTTCATAAACTGGATATTTAATTTCATGATGTTGTCAATCACTGATGGCAGTTTTAAGCAATTTTCTATTATATCAGGGCTTAGGCATCATCTTTTTTTAAAATTTAATTTATAACAAATTAATAATATTAATTAAATAAGTTTTAGAGATGCATCTAATTCTTACATAACTAGTGCTTTATATATTAAATTTAAAAATTTGCCAACTAGTTTATTTCATCTACAATTATCTGTAAACAAAATTTTCACGACTCATCATAATACACAAACAACATACCAACTTCTCTTCCTGACCTGCTCTTGCTCTTGGAACATCTTCAAGTCCTTCATCTTCTGACGCTACCAATTCTCCTTCTTCATCTTCTTCTTCTGATTGAGTATCACTCTCAGCACCTGACTCTGAAGCACTGTCATCACCTAAAGGAAACAAGAAACAATTTTTTTTTTTAACAACCTCACAAAGATGTTTTTATTGTCAATACCAGTTACTGACTGCATTTCCAGGATTCTTATTTCATGTCCAAATATGAAATACACAAGAGCAAAATACACAAGTACTGTACTCTTAAAAATGACATTTTACATTAATTCACTACATCTATATTTCATCATAAATTCAATGAGAACATGTACCTAAGAGAGATGCATCTTCGGGTCTTAATTCGATAGTAGGTGTATCAGATACTAATAAAGCTGTCAGACCATTTCTCAATCGAAGAACTCTGCAAAACCAAACATGAAAATTAATTTGCATACTTTGTAATGAATTTTGTAACTCTTCATTACTTTGTGTACTCACTGATATTCCTTCTTGTCATTTGGAGATTTCAGTGGTGATGGCAAGTACTCAACTCCAAATTTTATTTCTTGTCTTAATTTATCTCTGGGGCATTTGCGAGGGCATTCTTTTTTATTGTCCTTGGTATTTTGGGTTCGATGATTTTTCGGCATTTTATTGGAGTCCTTCTGTTCGTTAGAACGTCGCTTCGTCATGATTAACAAATCGCGGGTTAACAAACTCTGTAGCACAACTACTTTATTAAGTTTGATACTTCTGAACATGCAAAACTTCCACTTATTTCCGTATTTATAAAGGTTTGACGTAGCATCGTGTATTATCCAGTGATTCGCTCAATGGAATACATACCATATATTTTATTTTCACTTTGAAAATAACCAAACCATTGGAGTTCTGGTGTTATTCACTATCATCATTGCATCTATCGAAGGCTACTGAATTCGTATAAACCGAAATAATTGTCGAACATTGAAAAACATCTAACAACGCGCGCTGAAAACGATCTGAAACATTGAGAAACGTAACCTCATCACAAATATCACCACTGATCCAAGTCACACGTCATCGGCTTTTAAATTAGAATTTTGCGAACATTAGTACACAAAACATAGTCGATTTTTCACCGCTTATTGCGGAACTCCTGCCTCTTTCACAATACACAAAAACGTGCGTACCCAGCTGTTATAATTGCTGAAGATTTACGGGTTCATTTTAGGTTAGGGTTACAGTATTCCATGTTTTCTACCACATTGATGACGAGATGCATCATCTGTGCATCATCTAGTGATAAGAGACGTGGTTATTCCATGAAGCACGATGTTATATATTAGGATTTATTTAACCATGCACTTGATGTAAATCAAGGTGTTTGGTGTTCACAATTTTATCCAATCGAGAGTTTGAACGTCCCGATAGAGACGTCACTGTAGCGACATATAAGCTCGGTTGGATGAAACGATAACAGCTGATTTAATGGTGATTTGACGTAAAAGTACATACAAAGTATTAAAACAGTAACGGAATATAGCAACGAACTTTAATTACATTTTTATGCACTTTCGCTACTGTATATGTATTTTTTTGTGATTTTTTTATTGAAATGTCCCCACACAGATTCGGAAAAAACGCCTTTGCGATGTTATGCAGTTGATAAGTGGCAACTAATCGGAATAAATTGAGTAAAATTACACTTGAAAAGTGTATTTCTAACACTCCAATTAAATACGAAGCATTGATAGCACTCGGGTAGGTTATCCAATCGGGAGCTTCGTTATAATTTAATTTTTTATATTGAAGCTTCTGATTCTCCACTAAACAAAGTCGATTTGCCGTCCGTTTTAATCGGAGTATCACAGAGGACCTCTCTCTGTGACCTCAACCTCTGTTTGTGCGGAGTATTACACCAAAACTGGATGGAAGGGTCAGGATCATGTCCCCCATAAATTCACCACTAGTGCAGACGATGGGGAGCCGAAAGGGGGTCCACCATGCATAATGTAGAATATATTATTTTTCTAATTTTGTTTAATTCTTATTAGTAAGAAACCCGCAAGTTTTTCACCTCAAAATACTTCGGTACAAGTTTTAGCCATAATACCAAAAAATGTCCACCATTTTTTGTTCTTTGCGTACTAACTTTTTAATGGCTGATCTTAGCTCAAAAATAGTTCTGTACAATTTTAAAGGTCATAAAGTTCTCTACGAATTTGGTTTGTAAATTATGTTTTTCAAGCACATAGAAACATAGCTATGAGATTTTAAAATTTTACCAAATTTTCCTTTTTATTCTGACGTTGAGCAAAATTACTAATGATCTCTCTAATGTAGTGCAGTCTTGACAGCATTGGGACCCCTTGGGCGTAGGTTAATTTGGGGACCACCTATTCTTACTTTCACTGATCTCCCCCCCCCCCATTTTGGGGAATAACTCCGGTATACTTTTTTCGTATAGTTTTATTCAAAATAACTCTATTTTTCAAAAAAAAATTGTATTAATTTTTTTTAAGAGCTGTCGGGGATGTTCACCAATGAGGGCCTTGGTCCCGAGCCCGTTTTAATACGGCACTACTCTAATGTAGTATTTTTAAATTCCCAAAATCATTGTATATAAAAAGCGATTAAATAAAAATGTTTTTAATACTTACTGAGGTTACACTCGCGTTTCAATGTCTGGTAAAAGTGACTGCAGGCCTACATGTTCTGGTAATTGACCCGATTTACTTACCTCAAAAGCGTTAGAATTAATTCTTCTTCTTGTTCTTCCTGTCTTCTTCTCATCTTCCTTCTCCTCCTCCTCCTCCTCCTCCTCCTCCTCCTCCTCCTCCTTCTTCTTCTTCTTCTTCTTCTTCTTCTTCTTCTTCCTGTCTTCTTCTCCTTCCTGTCTTCTCCTTCTTCTTCTTCGTATCCTTCTTCTTCTCCTTCTTCTTCTTCCTGTCTTCTTCTCCTCCTCCTTCTCCTCCTTCTCATTCTTCTTCTTCTTCTCCTCCCCCTTCTTCTTCTTCCCGTCTTCCTCTTCTCCTTCTTCCTGTCTTATTCTTCTCCTTCTTCCTGTCTTCTCCTCCTCCTTCTTCTTCTTCTCCTTCTTCTGCTTCTTTGTCTTCTCCTTCTTCTTCCTGTCTTCTTCTTGTCTTCTCCTCCTCCTCCTCCTCCTTCTTCTTCTTCTTCTTCTTCCTGTCTTCTTCTTCTCATCCTCCTGTCTTCTTCTTCTCCTTCTTCCTGACTTATCCTCCTCCTTCTTCTTATCTTCTTCTCCTCCTCCTTCTTCTTCTTCCTGTCTTCTTCTTCTCATCCTCCTGTCTTCTTCTCCTTCTTCCTGACTTCTCCTCCTCCTCCTTCTTATCTTCTTCTTCTCCTCCTCCTTCTTCTTCTGCTTCTTTGTCTTCTTCTCCTTCTCCTCCTTCTTATCTTCTTCTTCTCCTCCTCCTTCTTCTTCTGCTTCTTTGTCTTCTTCTCCTTCTTCCTGTCTTCTTCTTCTCCTTCTTCCTGTCTTCTTCTTCTCCTTCTTCCTGTCTTCTTCTTCTCCTTCCTGTCTTCTTCTCCTCCTCCTTCTTCTTCTGCTTCTTTGTCTTCTCCTTCTTCTTCCTGTCTTCTTCTTCTTCCTGTCTTCTTCTTCTTGTTATTATTATTATTATTATTATTATTATTATTATTATTATTATTATTATTATTATTATCATTAAATAATAATTTTATTATTTAAGAAATGCTAACGTGTAAATATATAATTATATGACCTATTTCATAATTATAGAAATTTATTATTTTTATGAAAGACGTTATAGTTATTATCACTAACAATAGATTTTGAAATCTTAAATCCGGGCCATGACATATCCCCTATATTGCTTCTACATCGCTCGTTTCCCTCTCGATCACTTTTTAACAGAGGTTCAAAAGGTATAAATAATGTTTAGGCATGGATAAATATGGTTTAGATATATATGACGAGAATGTGTATACGTGATGGGAGTTTGGACGAAGGTGAAATGGTCGTGAAGAAGAGGAAAGGAATAGTTTCAATTCAAAAATTGTTCTTTTGGGAGAATGTGAGGGTATTTAAACTTTGTTATGCCAAGTAGATTAATCCAAAATTCATTTCTGCATCAACTCGAAAGGAAAGTGAGCAGTCTCAACCAAGCACTGATGAATGCGAGGGAGTGGGGCATGTCCCCCCAAAAGGCCAAAAGTTTTCGTTTTCCTTCCATTATTTATCAAAATTGATTTAAATATTTATTTATGTTCGAATTATGTAATTGTTTAAACAGTTTTATAGTATGTCCACTGTATATAAATAATATACAATATAATAACAAATACGTTTATTATTTAACAAAAATCTATGATGGCCCCCATCTAAAATGATCGGCTGGATCCGCCCCTGCAGCCATGTAGGTTATATCAACAGCTCTTAGATCACATAATAGATATTTCCGTTTCAAAACCTGTTTCGTGTGAGGGAAAGAGAATACGACAGAATTTATGGAATCACAAAAAGGACTGTCCTATACACAAAGAAATTGTGTACACCATGTAACGAAGGATACAAGGTTACGTTTGATATAAAAAATCGAAGCAGCTGAAGATCATCAATATGAATGGGATCAGCTAATAACATGCATTGCTGTCGAGGGTTTGTCGTAGAAGAAACTCGACTGCAGATTGGACAATTATTGTCATTATTCCTCCCATAGTATGGAAAATATTAGACCACCCGATGTGTTCACATTATGATCTGGGTTGTCAAACACGAACTGACAGAATGTTTCACTACTTAGATTTGATTCTTTATTTAACAGAACGGTAGACGATTCAAGTAATGAAGTTTCAAAGAACGATGAAGCGAATCCAATAGCAAATCAGATATATAAGGAATTTTTATCCATATTTCTTGTATACAGTATATGCGCTAACCCCTGTCGAAAGGGAAGAGAAAAAATACTCGTCTTACTGCCGATAAGACGGCATGTGCCAACGATATACAGTTTTTTCTTTCATTGATCAATTGCACCGTTTTTGAGTTTTATAATCTCTGACTCAAACAATAAAGGCAACGTATCTGGAATAATCGCCACAACATTATATGGTGGAAATGGTTATTTCCACCATGAGCTGCATCAACATTAGTGGCTAGGCAAAATCCCTTTCCTTTCCTTTCCTCTTGTCGGCCTGAACTTTTTCTTTTGTTGGGAAATGTGGTACCATGTTTCTTGTGTGGCGAAATCCTTGTTAGCAATGGGTGTTATTTTCCGGCACCATATTGACGATTTTCATCCGCATTGATGGTTTCAAGGACAACTTAATAACCTTGTGCACAAAATTTATTTGCAGTAGTCTTTCTTGTGATACTCAATGCAATAACAACAATGATAATGTCGCCATCTCAGCCAACGACGCGGTGTCACCCAGAAAGCCAAGAAGTTATGAACTCGAGTCGCGGAGCTTACGTTTATAAATAATAATAATTATTAATTTATTATTATTATTATTATTATTATTATTATTATTATTATTATTATTATTATTATTGTCCTACTGCCACGTACCAGAACTTGCAAACGTGAGTTTAACCTCAGTATTAAAAACATTAGTATTGAAACGTTTTTTCTTTATAATGATCTTGGAAATTCAAAAATACTACATTAGAGAGACCATTAGTAATTTTGGGTAATTTCAGAATAAAAAGGAAAATATGGTGAACATTTACAACTCATAGCTGTTACTATTTGCTTGAGAAAAATAAGTTATCAAGCAAAAAAAATTGTATAGGTTTTATGACCTTTAAGATTGTACATTACTATTTTTGAGCTAAGACCACCCATTAAAAAAATATTATGGGGAAAAAGAAAAAGAAAAGAAAAAAAAAAAAATAATTTTTTTTTGTTTGGTGCATTGGTCACCAAAACTTGTCCCGAAATATTTTGAGGAGATAAACGTAGGGTTTTCTTACTAATAAGAATATAAACAACATTTAAAAAAAATTCTAGCTCATCTTTTGCAAGGGAAAATGACTTATCAACTGCACTACACTGGCTAGAAGCGTGTGAAGCACAACACAATCACTGACGAGCTTGGATGCTCTCAATTTATTAGTAATTCAGCTACTGCTTATTTCTCAGTAATCTCTGCATCACATCCTATGCCTTAAAACCCATAAGAAATCATCGACATAGAAATTTAAGATAAGCCCTAAATAAGCCCTAAAATGTAAAATTACAATCCTAATTGTTCTTAGTCAGAAAGCTAGAGATAGATTTATAGTTGACTTTTCTCTTAGAAAATAATCAAATTGAGCATGTTGCAATAAATAGCAAATCTACTGCAAGAGAAAAAACTATATTAATGGGTTATTTTATTAAGTAATATCTCCAAGTACTCTCTCTTTAGTTGCCAAGTCATAATAATGAACTATAAACATCTAAATATCATGCAAGAGAATTAACTAGTGTAATGCTGACCCTACACCCAACAAAAGACTGTTATGTTGCAGTTTTAATTATCAAATATTGTAAAATGGAAACTACCAATCTGTTCGTATCCATTTGTTTTTAGCTACAATTCTTTCTAGAGTTGTAATATATTACTTTTCTGGGAAGATTCTCATCTTTTATCAAATAATTCAATGTATTTCTGCAATTTTAAACTTAAATACTACAAACTTATGCAAAATCAAATGGATTTCCCCAATTGTGAGTATGGTTCAGCGAAATAAACTTCCTTCCTTTTTTTTGCTTAAATATGTATTTAACAAGTCTTACAATAATTACAATCAGTTACATTTGCAACTGCTATGATAATAAAGACACATCCAGGTACTTATTCTTGAATACCCATCTACAATGTAAGTATTCCAATAGACTCCGGTTTACTTCTCTCAGAACATTTGCTACTTATAGAAAACAAGAGTCTCAGTCAGTTTCAAGATTATTCATACAATATACACAGAAACACCTATATACATGTTTTAACATGGTTTTCATTGATACACATTTTAAACCTTGATATACAAATAACAGAACAATTTATCATACAATGTCTAACAACATGAATTAATTCCTTTTCTTGGGCACACTTTCAAAATAGTAAAAATTTAAAAGAAAGAATCACACATTAATCATCACAGCCTGAACGTTTCAGTACAGTGTTTGAAATTTTCTTCCATGACACACAATTCTACTCAAAGGCAATTCTTTCCCGTTAGCAAAATGGTACAAAAGCCTCAATTCATACAGCTAAACAAGGAACATTATATTTTAACAAAATACATAAACACGAAAAACATTTCATTTAGTTCAAAACAGCTGTAGTACATATTCTATTAGGCCAACTTCTTTCAATCACTTACTGTAAAAATAACCTTCATAAAGTAGAAATTAAGATTACAGACAGGAAAACAAATGGCCATTTCTAAACATTGATACAATAAACAAATGCTTTCAATGATTTGTTCTTTTTTTCAGAATGTAAATATTTGATAATTGCATAAAGAAGGTTATTTTTGGAACGCAATGCACATTTCAGTGTATACTAGCTACCAGCCCATTCCATTGAAATAATTTGTAAGAAAAAATACAAAAAACATCAAGTGCAAGGCAATACTGATAAAAGTTTACAAATAATTAAATGCCTCTGGTTGCTTTTTATTTCATCCTCAGTCTCAAATATAAAATTATGTAATAGCACTAATGTTAACAGTTTGTTGATGATAATTAATTGCAGTTCATTAAGGCTCTTTGTATATTGTCTCAGGTAAAGTGTAAGTATGAAAGTAAGTAATTAACTAACATATAAAGTAATATTTGCAACATTTTAGGAATACATTTGTTTAAAAGATAATGAAAAACAGCCAGTTAAAAGTTTCAAAATATTTCATCCATACCAAGTTTGATTCAATACAAATATTACATCCATGCAATTGAGTAATGAGTTTTAAAGTAATATTAAGAAAATAAATGTCTGAAAAGAATCACTTTCGAAAGCATCTTCAAAGATAATTGATGGTGTTAAACATGAAGTTGAAAATGAAGTTGCTATATCAATGGCAAAATGTTCCAACCAACCATTCAAAATATGATTTCTAAAAACTAGCTTAACTCAATAAAACAATTCGTTATTCCAGCATGTGTATGGCACTAATTTTTGTTTTAATAGCTAGTTTTCTTTACAACAAAATTTACTCACAAAACATTATGAACATGTTTAACTCCAGAAGTTACTTTGTTACAGAAATTGCAAGGATGTGCAAGATGCATTCTATTCCACTCCATGTTTTAATTCAGATTTGAAGTTAGTAAGCGGAATTACATTAATTTTTTGGATTGCTGAAATACTGCAAATACTACGTGTTTGACGGCTTGTATTCAGAAGTCTTAGGCTTTTCCTTGAATTAGGGCATTTTGTTGAAATTGAGTTATTCAGAAACTGTTTTATGATACTTATCAATAACATCAATAATATACTACACAAAGTAGGAAAATTCTTATAAAATTTTAATGATCACAGTGCTTGTTACTATGTAATGCTATCCATCATACATTTCACAATTCTTTCTTCTATTTGTGCCTTGAATTTGGAAAGAAAATCTAGGATACTTAATGTATAATCACCTGTTATGAATAAATTATAAGCATAGCAAACTGACACTAATAAAAATACTACCATTTCAGTCACATGTGATTTTATATCAAGAAGGTTTTCTTCAAAATTGAAAAAACATATCTGCATGCCATTGAAATTGTGGGGATATCTGTAAATTCCAGATGCAAGGGCATTGACCTACTCTGAGTAGAAAATATCTCCCTTCATTTCTCAGAACATTACTTTCTTTACTCCCTAGAGCACTTTCAATGCAGGTAGAGAAGGAATGGTTTTTATGTTTAATGTATTGAATATACAAAAGTTTGATAGCAAAATTATATCCGATCATAATGTCAGAAAATACTGAACTTGTGTATCTTCAGGAATAAATATTGTAGCTGAAATTTCTAAGATATCAAATACAATTTTAGTATTGCATCTGCACTAGCGTTTTAAGAATCAACAACTGGATGTCTCTTACAATTTCCATGTGGTGACTCATTACAACACATTTTCTGATTTCATATTAGTAGTGAGTAACAATTTGGTAGTATCCTTGATTTAACAGATAAGTCAAATAAGCAGGGTACAAATAAATAATTTTGAATTAACATAGGAGATGAGATTAACGTATTTTACACATTATTTTCACTCAATGATTTGGAATGTTTTTATTTTTCTAAAGATATCAACACAAATATTATTTCATTGACTGTAAATGAGAGAGCAAAAATATTAATCGAAGATAAATAATGCAAATTATTGGCAAATTTAAAGAGATGTATGGCAATCTCAATCAGTTGCAGCATCATTATTCTACAAAAAATATTTATTTTTATTGCATACGATATTCCTTGCTTGTATTTGCTTCAAGGAAGACAAGGGTAGAAAACAACTATATATTATAACACGGACAATTTCAAAACTCACACATTATGAGAAAAAACCATTCCTTAAATGACAGCCATATTTGAAAATGTTACGCTGAAAACATCAAAGACAATGGAAATGTCACAAGATGAAAAATGAAATTAACTACAGCCACTCACTAACAACTATGTTTGAATAAAGTTCTTCCAAAGACTTCAGAGACCACACAGTGGTAAGCTGCTCCATTTGTTTACAGAATAAATCCAGATAAAACAACAAAATGAATCAACATTTAGATATATCTTTATATCATATTTTAATTCAAAGATCTGTAAAATAATTCATTTGTTCCCGCACAAGAATCGGCGCAACGAATCCATTGTTCGCGCAACATAACACTTTGAGTGTATTCTGTGGAACTCGCGGACGAATTGTCTTCCGTTACCTCGCACGCGCCGTCAACACGGAGGCCAAAGCATCAGCCTCTTTCGGGCAGGGCCTCGGGCCAGCGGGGGCTGGCGAACGCGCCGGGCTCGGCCTTCCAGGGCGCGGGTTCGGCCTTCCACGGCAGTCCCGGCGCGGGCGCCACCATGGCCGCCGGCGCGCCGCACGCGCCGAGGTGGCGGGCGGCGGTGCGCCTGGCGCACGGCGCACGGGCGCCGGCGGGCGGACGGCGGGCGCGGCGCGCGACGCGGCGCGCGCGCGAAAAAGTTGACGGAGATGTGACCGGGTTGCAGCGCCCACGGGGGCGCGCGCTAGGGCCGTGCGCCTTCCGGCGGCCTTCGCCACCCGCACGCGCACGCGCACCCGGCACTCGCCAGGTAGGCGCGAAGCGTGTCCGCGTCCAGCGTTCAGCGCACGTAGTACGCGCCTCGCGAGTGCAGCGCGAAAGATGTTCCGCACGGGGCGGGCGGCGGGCGCGGGCGGGCCGTGCGGGCGGCGGTCCGCGCCGGCGGCTGCGCGCCGCCAGTCGCGAACTTCGCGGCGGCGAGCGAAGGCGCGCGACGCAGCAGCGGGGAGCGGGGGCGCGGGCGGCTGCATGCGCCAGGGGCCGGCGGCGGAGGCGGGCGGGAGACGGGACGGAGCAACGTCTCGCTGTCCCGCCGGTGCAGTGCGGACAGCGACAGCACGGTTGCGCCGCGGCGCCGGGCCCGTCCTCGTCCGAGGCGTAGCGCGCCGCTTTGGGCGCTCGAGGCGCCAGCCGCACGCCCCCGCCAGGGCCCGCCCGCGCCGGAGTGGTGGTGCTCCGCGGAGAAGCGCTGTCTTGATTTTTTCTTGAACTTGTTAGAGCGCGGCCCGGCGGCGCCGTCGGGGCGGGGCCTGGCGACGCGGGCGGGCTGGTAACTAGCGTGGGCAGCGGCGGCGCGGAGCCGTTTTGGGATGACGGACGTGCCGCCCCAGGTTGCGGGCGTGCCCGGCGCCAGCCCTCCGCTGCCTGCCAGCGAAGCCAAAGGCTGAACATCAGCCAAATCGCCGTGCCGGCGGCCAATCTTGAATAGTTTGAGCGCAGCATCGCTTTCAGTGCATTACATTGATCTAGTTGCAGTATTAAGTTCAAATTTTTACATTCTCCAAAGCGATCAGATGAGCCAACAAAAAGTGAGTTTGGAAGAAAATTAAGTTATACCTGAACTTCGCATTTAAAAAAATGGGTTCAAAAATTGGCGTTAGTTAAAATACAAAAGTGAATAGCCACAACAAACGACAACAAAACTTTTCTTAGCAAAACTACATAAACATAAAATCTACGGAAACATCGTATAATTATATTGAAGAGCTGTAAGAAGCCAACCATGGGCTACCAAATCGGTAATAGTTTCTTTCAGATGCCTGCATAATCTACTGACCCCTTATACTTCTGACCCCCATTTCGGCTACGTTACTGTTCACGAGAGAAGGCATCGTGAATTCTTACTTAAAAAGTAAATATGAATAAATTTAGCCAAGCCCGTAAATGAATGTGTTTTTACCGCCCTGTCAAGCTCTACGTATATGCTTGGCACGTGTACTTCTGCGATCAGATGGATTCTACGATTCTTATATGCTAAGCAGTTATTCTGCGTTGGACTTTCATGTATTAATTTCGTCAAAAATTAATAACATTTCAATCATATAAACCACAAAATATAGTTCTTAACGATGACGAACAGTTCTTAAATTTCAATGTCAGTCTGAACGAGATAGAGAGATAGATAGATAGATAGATGAGATAGATAGATAGATAGAAGATAGGATAGATAGATAGATAGATAGATAGATAGAGAGAGAGAGAGAGAGAGATGAGAGATGAGAGGAGAGAGAATTGAAGAGAGAAGAAGGAGAAGAGAGACAGGACAGACAGACAGGAGGTCGAAGTAAACGATTTTCCAAAAAACGTGTGTTCTAACTTCTTAATTTTGGAGCATGGATAAAGAGTTGGGGTTCGTTACTCACCTGCGGGGCGTTTTGGTGAGCATGTCGCGCAGCTGCTGCCGAGGGCGGGGCGGGCGCGGGCGGGGGGCGGGGGGCGGGGCGGGGGCGGGCGCGCCCTCCTCGTAGCAGTCGTCGTGGCGCGCGGCCAGCGCCAGCCCAGGGGCGCGAGGCGCCGCGGGCCCGGCCAGCGCTGCCGGCCGCCGCCGCCCCCGCCCACGCCGGTCGCGGGTCCGCGCGCCCAGAGTCGCCTGCAGGTGAGCCCGGCGACGACCCCGGAGCCCTAGGCGGACGGCCGACGCGCTGCCCAGCCCGGAGCTGCCCAGGCCGCCGCCGCCGCTTCCTCCTCTCGCCGCCGCCGCCTCCGCCAGCGGACCGGCCGCGCCCGACCACACGAGCTGCCGACGAGCTGGTCGCTCATCGCCCAGGTGCGGTGCGCGGGAAGTTGAGCCCGGTCGCCTGCGAGCCCAGCGCGTCGAGCGGAACAGTGAGTCACGGAAGACGGGCAGAGGAGACCCGCGCCGCCAAGTGGGGCCGCTCGTCTGCCTCGTGCGACACTCGCAGGACAGTGCAGGGGAAGCGGAGACCTTACAAAGCAGTTTTTACTTTTTTCAAAAACACTTTTCGAGATTCTCTGAATCCCAGGTGGGTCAATATTATTTCAGAAAATTAATAAATGAAAGATTACCATTCTAAGCAACGTTCACAATTAACAAATTTTACAATGCTCCAAAAGAGGTTAATTAGAATGTTATGTGAAATAAGCAAGCAAATTTCCAAGATAATTTATTCTTCATTTCATTAAATTTAACGACGCCAGTTTGAGGAATGGAAAACTCATGTAATCTTGTAAAATGCCAAATTTATTTTATCTACTTTTCAAGAATCAATGATGTAATAATCAACAAGTCTCTCCAGTGTTATAAAGTAATGGATGGGTGGGTTGAGAAAGCACGGAGCGGGGCAGGCTGGGTTCCTTGTGTGGCGGGACTCACCTTGAGGATGCGTTCACGGTGCCGCTGCAGGTGGTTGATGAGCTGGACGCAGAGCGGGTCGCCGGGAAGAAGCCTTCCACCTCCCACCATGAAGTGCATGCCTCGGACAGGCACTCCTGGCTAGCCCAGGCGGTAGTGCTCCCCAGCACGAGGGCCGCCCGGGGCCCCTTGCTGGCCCGGCGCCTCCGCCTCCGCTGCCGCCGTTGCCGCCTCCCGCCCCGCCCCGCCCCCCCACCCCCCCCGCCTCCGCCCGCCCCCGGGCGGCTCCCCGGCCGCCCTCCTCGGGCTGGGCTAGCTGTGTGCTGCTGCGCCAGTCGCACTGGTCTGCGGAGAGCCAGGAAGAGCGGCGTTCAGCGACGGACTGACGGGCGCAGCCTTCGCAACGTGCGGTTTCGAGGTTTCGCTCCGAAACTCGTTACTTTTCTCTCATAGTTTCAACACTGAATGAAACTATTGCTTGATCACAAGTTCAAGATCGGCTTGATGATGCGATGTTTCTAACAAAATCAACAATCCTATCTTTACTTCATCCGCACATACTCCGAGCAAGGGCGAATCCAACCGATCATTTGGGGAGAGGAGGCTCATAAAGTTTTGTTAAATAATAAATATATTTATTATTATATAGTATATTATTTTTGAAGAGTATATATGCTACAATGCACTCTTTTGTAGAGTATATATTATTTTTTTAAAATAATTGCATAATTCTTACAAAAATATTTAAATCAATTTTGCCAAATGAAGAAAGATAACAAACAAAAACTCTAGGCCTTGTTTTTTAGGGGCAAGGCACCTTTCCCCCCTGAATCCGCCACTGACTCCGAGACATCTCAAAGTTATCAATATTGAGGAAATTCAGCCAGCAAACGGTGTCCCACTTTGTTATTTAATTTAATTATTGAGTTATAAAAAACGACATACATTGTAACACATTAATAACTTGAGTAACGCAGTTAAAAGATAGACGAAAAAAACTATTAAGCAGGAAAGTATTACGCAAAAAATACGCAGGAATAATACTTAAAATTCTGATGTTCAAACTAACATAAACTTTTCTAAAATTTCAAAAAATCAAAAAATGAAGACGTTAAGAATTGTTAAAATCAGCAAACGGATGTTCAGAAATCTGGGTGAGCAGCGAAGAAGAGAAACTTTCGTACGACGCGAGAAAGGGAAAGTCGGGGCAAATGGCGACATCATCGAAATGATGAAATAATAAACGAAATTACATAATTTCGTCCTTTTCTAGAAAAAATTAACGCACAATATACTTTGAAAGGAAATATATTTCCATTATTGATTTCCGAAATCATCTTATTTCTTAAAACTTCCAAGTAATTGTTTTGGTCGTATTCAGAAAAGCGACCAGCAACTGGGAATAATAGCACTTCTTGAACATCCGGTGACCCTGGTCGCAAGAGACCCTCAAGTGTTCATCTTTTAATTTTTGCTAATGTACTAGTATGGGTAAAAACAAATTACATTGAACCAACACACGTGACAAGATTGTTACACCGTTGTTCTATTTCGGATTGTGTACTTACATTAAGTACATGTACAACAATAGGAATTGACGTACCCACGAATTGTGGAGTTACACGATGTTAAAATGTTACTGTTATGGGTTCTACAAATGTATTATCCTTGACAATTATTTACAGGGGTTTACAGACTGCAACGTCCTCTGAATATAAAATCTATTCGAAAGCTCGATCGCACGGAAGCATTAGCAAAACTATTTCACTGGATAGAAAAGCATAATTTGTGACAAGGAAAAATATTATCCCGAAAACATAAATGCAACATCCTGAAGGGCAAGGATTTCTTTATATGTAATTTTGTCTCTCTGAATCAAGACGTACGAGCAAAATGATACGATTCCTCCACTACACGGGGGGCATTATCACAGCCGGTGACGTCTCCGCTGCCCGTCGTAGGCTTTCTAAACCGCACCGCGCCGCGCCGTCCCGAAGCGCGAGCGGAGCGGGAAGGGGGGTGAGGGGGGAGGCGGCCTACCTGCGTGGCGGCAGGCGTGCGCTTGCAGGTGCTTCATGTGGCGGATGGCCATCTCGATGATCTCCGTCTTCTCGATGCGGCCGCGCCCCTTCTTCAGGTACTCGGCCGGGATGAGGCGCGAGAGGTCCGCCAGGCAGTTGTTCATGCGGTCGCGCCGCCGCTTCTCGATGATGCGGTGCGACATCGGGTCCTGCGCACATCAACGCACCAGATGCTCGTACACTCAAACACTTGTAGAAGAAGGACATTACCTTTATGCACTACAATACACAATAAATCACCATCTTAGCAGATTTCTAATCACTATAGTCTCCAAACTCGTCTCGATTCTCGAAGAACTTTCGTAATGTTAAATGTCTACCTTCGCCTCCACGTGCGCCATATTCCTAGACTAATTTCAATCGAATTCTTGTGAAGATTAAAATGCTTTAAGTAATTATGTAACTGCGAGGTCCACATCAACTGATCAGTGCACGAATGAAACAAAATTTAATCAAATGATGTGTATTAAAAGGGTGGGGAAGAATTCTGGAACTCATGAAAGATCGCGGAGATCATACTTCTCTCCCGTATCAACCCAACAATTCTTACTATTACTGATGATAAATAAATAAATAAATGTTGTCGGAATTATAACAAAATTCGGAAGTCCCTAAAGTTCGAGATAATGTAAGAAGGCCTTAAGCTTTCCTTGCCCATAAGAGGTAAAAGTAATTTAAAAAAAGGCTATCCTGAAGTCCATCCATTACCCATGTTTAGTTCTCTACAAAATTGCTAATAACATCATCCAAATATCAGTCGGATTAACAGAAGTGAAAAATGCACCAGTTCCAATCTAAGTGAAACACATTTACGAGGAATTAAAACTCAATTTATACATCCTTATGTCACCTGTTTGATAAAATTTACCGCGTGACAGAAACTATTGTTCGGAACGGGTAGGGTTATCAGCAGAACAGTTTATCCGGATTCCTTATCTCTCACGTTTCTCACGGAACAATTATCTATGTAAATTAGAAACAAAGAAGAAAGAATAACTTAACCGATTTCAAAAACACAATGTGAACAGTTGTGAAGATGAAGGAGCAGTTACAAACACGTGACCAGGTTTTTCAAGTATCAGTTTCATATCTTATACTTGCAGGAATAATTATTTGTTGGGATCGTAATGTTAAATAACAGGCGTGATTCTGAAACATGGAATAGTACATACTATTGTTCACAATGAACGGAAGTTACACGAGCGCGTCAGCCTTTCGAGTCAAATTGTTCGCGATACATTTAGTGAAATGTTCAATAAAATCGCAAAGTTACGTCAATGCTATTCGACTGATAACGGAATCGCCCACTCCTTCGTCAGCGATCCAGTTCGACGTCCGCGATCGCACAGGGTGGCTGATAAGGCAGCTCGCTGGTTCGCACCGGTTGAGGGCGGGCGCCCAGCCACTTAGCAACTTATCTGCGCGGAGAGCGGCTGCGCACGTGCTGCGCCGAGAGGTTTCTCTTTGGGATTACACGGGAAGCCCCGACGGCGGCGCGCGCGCCGCACGCGGATCCGC